TGAATCCTTGTCAACCAAATCTCTCAATACCAAATCTTTCAATATTCAATCTCTTAATATTCCTATTAATTCGTTGATAACCAACGATATCCCACTCAATCATACAATAGTCTCTATACCACAATTTCTTAGATACCTTCTCAAACCCGCATCTATCTTTCTCTAAATTTTCTTAATTCACCTTAAATTCTACTTAACTCGTCCAAATCTCCCGATATTCCATTCATATACTTCTATACTCATTTTTTGAGACTGGAATTTTGTTATCAATACCTTTAGTCGACTATGACACGAGTAATAGAAAAATAGATAGTCAAAAATCAGATGGGCTTCTATTAGGGCATGGGCTTCTATTGGGGCATGGGCCTTTATTTTTCAATACCCCCTATTGAGTGGGCTTCTAATAGGGCATGGGCTTCTATTGGAGATGGGCTTCTATTAGAGACAATACGGTAAATAAAATATTTTTTAAATATTTATATGTATTATAAATTTATAATGATTTTTTTAAAACTCCGAATTTGAAGATAAAAAAAGAATTGGGGAATTGAGAAAAGAATATAATTTTTAATTATTCCAATTCTCGATTTATCAACTAATGTAAATATTCCTAAACTGACCAAGGCAATCTGTGAAAGATTTGATTTAATTAAAAAGAGGAAATAATATAAAAAAGATATTTTGTAACCTCCTGACCTGTACATAAAGAAAGAAAATAATTAACAAAACCCACAAAAATAAAGAGTTAAAAAAAACAACAACATTTTCATTTAGGCAAAGCAATTAGCAAAAATAAACGTAAAAACTCTTTGTGTGTATATATTTACTTGTAATGTCAGTTGCTCCCACACTTTCAGAGCTTTTGAATGGCACACCGGTGTGCCGATGGGTAATTGGATATGGGGCAGTAATTAATATGAGAAAGGGGAAAAGGCTGCAAAAAATGGGGGGCAGTTGTTATGGACTTGAAAATAAATAAATAAATACAATGAACGCCTCGGAAGTAGTAGAAGTAGAGATATACTCTACACACAATTGCTTTTTATTTTTAATTGAGATAGTAAAAAGAATTGTAAAAAATAAAACGATTGCCGTTAACTACTTTATTAATTGGACAGAACCTTTAATGGGGTAATAATAAGAAAAGGTTGTTAATTGAATATTTTATTGAATTTTCTAATATAATAATGAGAGCTAGTAGTAGACAATTAATTGGGTGGAAATTAATTAGAAATCAATATATTTTTAGCTTAAAAATAAAAAAATTTAATTAATTGAAATAAATATATTTACAAAAACAAAAGTTACTTTATGTAAAAAAAACAAGTGGCAATAATTAATTTAATAAATAAACAGACTTATCTTTTTTAACTGATATTTTAAAATAATTTTTTAATTAGTCTCTAAGTATTCTCGTTTATCTAAATTTTATGTTTTAAAGTAGTCCAAGAGACTACTTTAAGACAGAAAGGAGTTGCTCCATTTTTTTTCAAAATTCCCAAATCTAAAAATCTGGACATTCTTAATAAATCATTTGAAATTTAATATTTATTTTGTGAAACAAATTTAAATTTTTTAAGTATTAATGCTAAAATATATTATCAATTTATTGATCAAGGCTTTAAATTACCCATAAATCTATGCAGTAACCAAATTCTATTTCATCTGAACCAAATCCATTCAAAAAAGGCATTAAAACATTCATTAAATTATCAATTTCTGAATTTTATTAAACAATATTTACTTTATATTTTAATTTATCTATTTATATTTTCACTGCAATAGTGACCATTCTCTACTCACATCAGACTAGTTAGAAGTAATAAATAATTATTTCAATTGTCGTGTTTTGAATTCCTATTTTGTTAGAAAAAATTGTTTAAAAGAAAATCTGAAATAATTTCGAAATTATATCAACTCAATTCTATAATAATTTCAACATATCTTTGATTTGCCTAATTTGTAGTAAATTTTGTTGGAGTATTAATACTAGAATTTATTTTTATTATTTATTTGATCTTCCCATATTTTTCTTTTCTACTCATAAAGCTGTAAATATGTAGTCAACAAGCAATGATTATTAATTTAAGCGACAAAAAGGTGTCATTTTTTATTTTCATTTTTTACATGTTTAGTATTTAAATATTTTTAAATTTATTTTTGTATTCATTTATTTTTAGTTCTTCTCATTATTTTTTTAAATCAAAAAGTAAACCTAATTTTAAATAAACCTTGTAAAAACCTCTATTTTTAGGTTTCTTTTAAAAACTATTCAAATTTAAATATACACATATTTTCTTCTTTTTACCCAGAAATTATTTTTAAAGCAAAAAACATTTCCGCCTTAGGCGCTTAATTGATGTTATGCATCGAAGTTTTTAAGTAAAAAAAGAATAAAAATAAGAAGTAAAAAATGACAGCTAAAAAGTAAAAAAGGATGTTGTAATACATAATTCTTTTTTTTATTTTATTTTATATTTGTTTGTTTGTTCTTCATTTTTTCTCTCTTAAAATGGCACATTTAAATTTTTATTTAAAATAAAGTCTTTTTTGAGTTAAATAAAATAAAATATTTTATTAAAATTATTTATTAAAAAATGTTTCAACGTTTAATTACCAGCATTCAACAACCTTTAATTTTAATTTTTTTACTTTCAACTATTTTGTTGGCATTAATTATTGTTATTAATTATTGCAGGTATTTAATTAAATTAAAAATTAATTAAAAGTTTTAAGGCAAAAAGCTGGTGATAGCTATGAACTCGGTCCAAGTCCTCGAAGACCCCCTCGTAAAATTGAAAAAGAATTTTTTGTTTGAGAGAAAAATAAAAAAAAGATTTTTTATTTGTAAATAAATAATTAATTTTTCTTAATTATTTATATTTTTAAATTTTCCAATAAAAAATATAAAATTAAAACATCGTTTAACTCTCTCCAATTTTTTAAAGTTTAAAACATTTACCTCTAAATATTCCTTCACTTTTAATAAAAAATCCTTTAATTTATGGAATCTCGGTGATAACAGATTTCTTCTTTTATTATTTCCTAATTAATTAATTGTTTCTAAAAACAATTTCCCCCAAAAATAGTAAAAATTAATTTATTTTTATTTAAAAATAAATTAAAAGATTAATTTCCCAAACAATTTTTATTTAAAATTTTATAAACAAAAACAAATTTAAAAAAGTCTAACAAAGTATACGTACAAATATATTTATTTATTTAAAGTCACATTACTTTTATTTATATTTTAATTTATATATATTTTCAATTAAATTTCTTTAATGTTATTCAATATATAAAAACTGTAACTGGTTTTTTTAAAATAAATTTTGTGGGTAATGTTGATCCATTATATATATATATATTCTCATCGATCACAAATATATTAAAAATATAATTACCAAAAATTATTAAACATACTTAAGCTTTAAATTCTCTTTAATTATCATCTTGGCATTCCCTTTATAATAACAATTAATTGCCAGTCATATTCTAATTTCTCAACATTTTGAATACAAAAAACCTCTTCGAATGATTAAATATTTTCCTCTTAAATTTCTAAAAATTAAATGAAAAATAAAAACAATTAAATTTAAATTTTCTTTCATCTTTTTAGTCAAAATATTTAATTTAGGAAAACCATAAAGCTAAATTTTATTATTTTAATATTTAATGTAGAAAATAATTTTTTCTCGTTATTTTTTCTTAGGTTTGCGCAATTCCTAACGTCTTTGAAACCCATTTTTTTCTTTCTTCAACGTCTCTTCATCTTTTACAATTTCCACCCTCACTTATTATCATCATTACACACAACCAACAACACCTTCTTCTTCTTCAATACTTTCTCCAAAAAAATATAAATATATTGGCCTAAACAAATCAAACACACAAAATATGTCGCCGCAGCCATTTACAACAACGTCTCCTACTACTTAGTTGCGCGATTTACTTTTTTTCTTTCTTTTTTTTTCACTTTTTTCTCAATTTTATTGTCTCTCTCCCTTTCCTATAATCTTTCACTTTCCGTTTGCCCAATTGCGCAGCAACAATTTACTCAACACCACTCATTTTTTGTTTGTCGGCATCTTTTCTTCACAATTGTGTTATTTATTTAAAACAATTTATTTTCCTTTACCGCTATAAAACCAAGAAATTTCAATTTTCTTTTATTTTTCTTTTTTTGTCTAATTTCTCGTTTAATTAATTTTGATTTTTTTCCTTTCTATAATTTTTTGATCTTTTGCTTTTCTTTTTAAAAGTTACTTTTTTACAACATAATAATTAATTATAATTATAATTAAAAACTTAAGTTGATCTTTAAAGTTTATATTATTTATTTTCTGTAATATACACCAAAGGCCAATCAGAAAATTCGACAAATATTTGTCAGAATTAACGGAAAACATGTGATTTTTTATTTCCTTTATAAGTATTTATTACCCCCATCCACTTTTTTATTATTTAATAAAAAAATAAACACCATTTTTAAACAAATATTTAAAATTTATTTAAATATTTTTTAAACTAAATTTTCCTTCTTTCGCCATTTTTAGATTAAATAAATTGATTATCTCCTTGTAAAGATGCGCAATATGCAGATGATTGGATTAGCTAACAAAAAATCTTTTGGATACTCCAACAAATTGATTTATTTATTCGCGGCTTTGCTTTGACTTTTACATCTCTTTATATTTATTTTCTCTTTTATACAAGTCTATATATATATTTGGATATAAACAAAAAATATTTTTAAATATTTACGTGAAAAAAGTTTAAATTTTAGTTCAAAATTTTAAAAATAAATTAGGCACTAGATTATACAACCAAGTAATTATATCCAAAATAATTTCTGTCAAATAATATATTTGATCATAGTATACAGTATTTAATTAATCGTTGTTCTGTCCAATTCCTTCTTAACAAAAAAATATTTAATTTTTTTTAAATTAATTTTAGCCTATTTTAAAATATTCAGCAATTATTTATTTTATTAAATTAAAATGACAGAAGATTTACCAATGGATTCCCCTCCTTCATCACTACCCCAAACTCCCCCATCTCATACAGGCACAGTGCCCCGTTCGGGCTCTCCAATCCCGTCAGATTTGCGGCATCGTGTCCCAGCCATATTTGGTGGGCATCCCCCTTCTTTTATGGAAAAGAGACGAAGTTCTATAGTTATGGGGCAGGTATCTTAAAATTTTTAAATAATCTCAATTTTGTTTGGAAATTTTGTTAGCGTTCTGTAGACTTACTCATGGAACAGCCCGGCGAACCTATGCCTCGTTTTGTTATTTTTATCATTAAATGCTATCGGAGATGGGGGTATTTTGATTTAAATTATATTAAAAATACCTAATTATTATTAATATCCAACCCATTATATCCTTCCCCAAATATTTGATCACTGTTTTAGCATACCCCAAGGTTCCGGAAATTGGTGTGTTGTGATATCTATAACTAAAGAATAAACATACACTCGTTCAATTTTAGTCAAGATTTCCTTTTCTTTGTATTAAATACAAATCACCGCCCATTATTAATTAAATTTTAATAATTTAATATTCAAAATATTTTAATTTATATAAAAATATTTTTCAGTTATTTCATTGCTGATCATAGTTTAAAGGCAATTCTCATTTGTGTATTAATCAGTCTTGTTTGCCTGTAGGTTTTTTAATTTAAATAAAATTATTTTTTAATTATTTTATTTTTTAGTTATTTTGTATTGACAACAAAGTAAGTTAACTAATTTATTTAAAATATTTAAATATATATTAAGGCAAGAGAATGATATTACTGGTTATTCTCCATATGGAGCAAGAGGTTTGTTTATAATTTTGAATATTATTTTGAATTTTAATATTTAACAGCTAGACAAGAATTTACTCGTTATCAAGTTGGTTTTTAAATTATTTTAATTTTAACCAATCATCTGTAAATAAATCAAAAAATTTTCAGGAATTTTTCTCTCATGATGGACCGGGTATTACTGTTTATATTTTTGCTTTAGCTAAGGATGGGGGAAATATGCTCAGGGAAAGATACCTCAATGAAACAGTTGAAGTAATTTTGAAGATTAAATTTTCCAAAAAATATTTTTTATTTAAAAAGATTTTAAATTTGGCAAATGAAAATGTAACTTTACAACAAAATGGCCATAACAAAAGTTTTGCTCAATTTTGCCGCAGTTTTTGTAAAATTAACGAGCCTGTTAGGGGCTTTTATGTTTGTTTAAAAATTATTCGGAAAAAATTTTTAAATTAATTTTAGAATGGCTTTCGACTTCAATTAGAATCTATAGCTATGGGAAATAAACCAAATTCAAGAATTAAATTAAATTATCCAAAGTCTCAAATTCTTGGACACACTTTTACTTTACAAGTAAAGAGGGGAATTTAATTTAGAAAATTAGGGATGGAAAAAATATAATGGAAAAATTACAAATTAATTTTTTATTTGGCTCTAAAATTTTAAACAATCCAAAAATACGACGAGAAAATTTAAAAAATGTTTTTTTTGTTTTTGTACCAAAAATTAACTTTTACTGCTCTCCAATAATAAAATTAAAAGAAAATTCTCGATATAATTAATTAAAGTTTATTTTTATAGCAAAGCTTTTTTGGTGTTGAACGTTATAATTATACAAATGAAATTGAAGATAAAAATAATTTTAATTTAACAGCTGCATTACTTAAAGTAAAAGCTGATGAAGAGGAGGAAGAAAATAAAAATAAAACAAATATTTTAATAAAACAAAAAGAATCGAAGAAAAATAGAACTGGAAGGGATATTGAAAATGATAATATTTTAAATTTAGAAAATAATTCAACGACTAAAATTACAAATATAAAATCGGTTATTTAATTTTTAAAAAATGTTGGTGAGGCTTCTTTCTCGGTACCCAACAAAATTTAGAAAAGCACTTTTCTTTCCTTTACATTAAAGTGATTTCTGTTTTTCCTCTCATTTCCAATTTTGAACAGATATCACCGAGAAAGACTTTTATTTATTTCCCCTAATAAAATTTTGTTAGAAATTCTTCAAAATTCTTCATTTAAATTTTTGTAAATTAAATTTTATATTAAATTAGATAAAAATGGTTGTATTACAATTTCGAGCAGAACATGAAAATGGGTGGACTAGTGAAATTGTAAAAACTTATGAAATGGCAATGGTTAACCGATTTGAAAAGTAAAATATTTAATTAAAAAAAATAAGAAAAAAAATTATTTCTTAAAAAGGGAATACAAATCTGAACGTTTAACGTTATATGTATTATCAACAACTTATGTAGAGGAAGAAATGGCTAGTTACTTTAATTTTAATTTTTAAAAATTATTTTTAAATTAGGTACGTGCTGGAATTTCAATGGTTCCTTATTTGTCTGTTGGTTTTTTGTTTATGGTGGCTTGCTCAGTATTTTTTGTATTAAATCGTGCCATTTATATGCATCAAAATAGTCCTCCAAAAGTTTTAATTTGAAAAAAAAAATAATTTTTTAAAATTAAAAAAAAAGATATTTTTGGCTATAGCAATTTGTTTTTTGCCTTTTATGTCTTGTGCCACAGCACTCGGTTTAATGTTTATTTGTGGATTGAGATTTGCTTCAATTTTGTGTGTTATCCCTTTTTTAGTTCTTTCAATAGGCGTTGATTCTTCTTATTTAATGAATCATGAATGGCAAAGTGTTATTAAACATTGCCGTGAACAACCAAATAGAAAAAATTTAAATGTTGGTTATCGAGTATCTCAAGTGTGTTTTATTTTAAATAAATAAACTATTTCTTTTATTTTTTTCTGATAAAACTTTCTCGTTCCTTCTCTGATTTTTAAATTAATTTTTCTCTCCAATATCTCAGCTAATACGTATAGTACTAGCAATAATTTAAATTTAAAAATTATTTTTAAGGTTCTCTCAGAAGTTGGGCCAGCTATATTAATTTCAATGTTAACCAATGTGTTTGCTGATGGAATAGGTGCCATTACATCCTCCCCAGAAATAACACTTTTATGTGTTGGAAATTTAATTTCGATGATTATTGCTTTTATTTATCAAGTATTTAAAAAATAATTTTGTTTTGACAAAAGAAAATAATTTAAAGATGACTTGTTATGCTGGTTTAATGTCTCTTGTAGGTAGATATGAAATTGCTTTAGAAAAACGCGAAAGAAGGGAAATACAAGAAAGTATAAGGAAAGCAATTTCTAATGGTTCTTCTCAAATTGGAATTAATAATAATATTAATAATGGCGAATTAGGCTACGGAAAACATCAATCTTTAAATGTAAATCTAAAATTATTTTTCTTTAATATAGAGGAACTTTATCCCGATTTAAATGGGATACTTTAGGACATGTTTAGGAGAGGACATGTTTTAGGGGCATGTTCAGGAGAAAGATGAGCATTTAAGTAGTAGTAGTTTTAATTTTTTCAAAAATTTAAAAAATAAATTTATTTTCAGAGACAACAAAGCAAATTTCACGAACATACAAAACATTATATTAGCAAAACAATAACTTTTTACATAAAAGTAATATCAAAGCGTGTAGTTGCTTTGTTTGTTATTTTTATTTATTTTGTTTATATTGGCTTCTCAATTTGGGGAATAACTAGAATGAATATAAATTTAACTACACAAAAATTATTTGCAGAAGATTCTCCTTTATTACAAGTATTTCTTTCTAAATAAATATTTTATTTTTAAAAATAAAGTTGGATAAATTACGTGTTAAATATCAAGTACCTCATTTTATGATGGCCACAGTTTTTATTTGTGCACCAAAAAATTTAAGCAATCCTGAGCGGCTTGAAAAAATGAATAATTTTGTTAGAGAAATGGAACAACTAAATGGAACTTGGGGCCGTTCTTGGGGAACTATTGGCACTCAATACTTTGTTAGAGATTTTATTACTTTCGAGAAAAATTTTGGAGGCAGGCAAAAATTTTAAATAAAATTTTAATACCGTAAATGCTTGGTTAATTACCCTGGGTAATTATCGTTTCCACCTTTCGCTAAACGGGGTTATTATTTCAGAGGAGGCAATTATTTGAGAGAAGGTAATTATTCGAGCATTTATAGTAATTTATTAGAAATTTAAATCTATTTAAATGAACAATTATTAAATTTATAATCTATGTTGTCAAGTAACCATAATCAAACCGATATATGGTTAAACCCCAAACCGATAAAACTGATTTTGCCAATAATATTATAAATGGTTCAAAGAAATATTTTTGTTTAATTTACAAAGGATGGTGTTAAGGTAAGGTGCAAAAGTTTATGCGGCGGATTTAAAACATCATAAAACCTTTCAGAATTGATCAATTCTTGGTCTTAAAAAATAGTTTAAAAGATAACTCAGTTGACATCTTTCAGCATTTTCTTCAAATTCGACTTTTCGACCCCTTTTAGACTGGTCGAACGAACAGCCCATTTGCTGGATCTTTGGAAAAATTTTCTAGAATCTTGCTGATTTTATATATGATTCTCCGTAAAATTCTGTACAAAATGCAAAAAACCGCATTCGAAATGCTTCGGCCCGAACCGAGATATGATTTTTCGAAAATCGCAAAAAACAGTTGAAAACACCAAAAACTCGGAAAATAGCTGTTTTTTGCGATTTTCGAAAAATCATATCTCGGTTCGGGCCGAAGCATTTCGAATGCGGTTTTTTGCATTTTGTACAGAATTTTACGGAGAATCATATATAAAATCAGCAAGATTCTAGAAAATTTTTCCAAAGATCCAGCAAATGGGCTGTTCGTTCGACCAGTCTAAAAGGGGTCGAAAAGTCGAATTTGAAGAAAATGCTGAAAGATGTCAACTGAGTTATCTTTTAAACTATTTTTTAAGACCAAGATTGTCAATATTGATCAATTCTGAAAGGTTTTATGATGTTTTAAATCCGCCGCATAAACTTTTGCTTTTTTTTCTATTTTTGAGACTAAATAGGTATAAGCCTGAGACTTTAATTTCTTTAAATATTAATTACATACTATTATCTTTCATTAACAAAACACAAATATTTTTATTTAGGAGAAACAGATCCTGATGAATTAGAAGCTATGGAATTGGAAAAAGGATTAAATGAAAATTCTGATTCACCTCAATTATCTGAAATGTCAGTAGACGATGAAAGGTCATTAGAAATCCCTACAGGCCCGTTTAAGGAAGAAGATTTAGCTGTCTTTTTGCGTTGGCCAGAATATACTCAATGGAGTGGATTTTTAAAATTGGATAATAAAACGTTTTAACAAAATTAAATTAATAATTTAAAATTCAAAAAAATTATAGTGGGCAATTAGAACGTTTTTTCTTTACAACTGGATATCATGGAGATAAGCTTGAAGTTTGGACTGAAAGGGGAAAACTTTTAAAAGAATGGAGGGCTGTAGTAGATAAATATTCGTTAGTTATCTAAAAAATATAAAAAATAATAATTTTGAAAGACAAGATTTTGATGCTTCTGTTTTTCATGAAGATGCTGTATTTCTTGATTTAATAGATAATATGCCTTCAGATACATGGCAGTCTGTACTTGGAACTTTGGTGGGATTTTTTTATGTTTTTCTGTTTGAAATATTATTATCGAGTTAGCAGAAAGGGATGAGTTGAAAAAGTTTTTGAGTTTTATTTTCAAAAATCCTGAACTCGCTTACTTTAAAAATGTCAAACCTTATCTCCAAAAGTTAAGAAGGAAAGAATTTCTATTTTTTTCTTTTTAAATTTATAAAGATTTTAATTTCTAAAGGTTTGTATGGCATTTGTTTGTTTTGCATTTTTAAGCAGTATGTTTACTGTTATCTTTGCCTCAAGCTGTGTTCTCTCAATTTGTTGTGGAATCTTGGGGATTTTAAATTGGTGGAGCATAGATTTAGATCCAATTATGATGGTTGGAGATTTTAATGTTTTTTTTATTTTTTAAAAATTTTTCTAGGCTGCTATGATTATTTCAATTGGGTTTAGTGTTGATATTCCTGCACACGTTTCTTATCATTACTACCAAGCTTGTTAGTTTCTTTTAAAATTTATTTTAGAATTAAATAAATTAAGCAATTCGAGAATTAAATGCAACTCCAGAAATGAAATTGGTGAGAATTCAAAAATATATTCTTCCGTAGTTTGAATTAATGCATAGATTTGTTACTCATAAATTATCAGAGCAACAAAACACTTTTCTAGTTATTCCATTATTTTCTTTTTCTGAGAATGTCTAATCAGAATTTGGCCAATCCAGATTACTTAAATTTAAAAATTTCTGTTTGGCCTTATATATTCTTTTCATGCCAAATTTATAAAAAATCCCGCATCCATCCAAAATACATTCCTTTCTATATTAAATCAGCTAGTCCGAAAAAAAACAGCTTGCTAATAGTTTTTGCACTAAAATTAAGTTGAAGTAATTCTAGTCATGAATACTAATTGTTTAAAGGTAAATTGTCTCTCATCAGTTGCCTTTCCTGCACTTCAAGCAGCCTTATCTACAATATTTTGTGTTTGTTCTTTACTTTTTGTTAAACTTTATATGGCTGAAGTTTTTGTTAAAACAATGGTTTCTTTAAATAATTTCCTCCAAAAAAATTCCTTTTAAAAGGTTCTCTGTGTTGTTTTGTGTAATTTACATGGTCTTCTCTTTTTGCCAGCATTTTTAATTGTTTTTGATCCAGTCGTCTACTCATGTCGTCAACGAATTTCAAAAAGTCGTTCAAAAATTAAACAAAACAATCGAATACATAATGTTATTCCAGAAGAATCAGGAAGTCAAGAAAGTTCTTTAAAAGAAAATACTTTAATTAATGAAAAGAAAAGAAAATTATTTAATCAAAATGGACTTAATAAAACAATTAATAATAATGATAAACAATCAACAATTACTGATAGGTAGTTTAAAATATCTAATAAATAAAAATAATTTTTGAAGACCAAATTTGGAAAGATTTCATTCAATTGAATTAGAAGGGGAAGGAGGAGATAAATTAAAACAAGAAGAAAATGAAAAAGAAGAAAAGGTGAATAATACTAAAGATAATCTAAATATTAATTCAAAATCTAATCAAAAAATTGATGATACAAGTCATTAAAAAAATAAACTAAAATTTTGTTTATATTTTAAATTTATTTATGTACAAATTAGGATAACTTTTGATATAAAATTTAAATGCTCAATTATTAAAACAAAGGTTACTAATTACTATAATTAATTTTATTTTTTATTCATTTTCAATAATTGTGAATTATTTTAAATTGTTGTTACATAAGAATTTAAATAAAATTTTTGGGGTTTTATTTGGTTAATTTACTTAATTTCATTTAAAATATCAGAAACTCCCTGCTGATAGTGATTAAACTTAATCTTTAAAAAATTCTTTAAATTGTACCAAACTTGAAAAATATTTGACCCCTCTCACCCGTTTTTTTAAATTTAAAAATTACTAAATATTTTAAAACATATTTTTGTTATAATTTTTATCAAAAAATATATCTTTAGAAATACAATCATTATAAAAGTCAAAGAATACTTTGAATAAGGCGCTGAAAAAAAAAATGAGCACTGAAAAATTTAAGAATCCACAGAGATCACAATGACTATGTTTTTGTTAATTAAAGATGGTGTTAGAATAAAGTAGAAAAAATTAAAATTTTTCAAAATAAATTTGTTTCTAAAAGAAATTTTCTCCTTTAATTACCAGAAATTTAATAAGAAATTTTTTATAAATTCAAAAAAAAGTTTTGTTTTATTGATTTTTAGTTTAAATATTTTTTGTCCAATTAAAGGAAATAACTTAATAAATAAGAATTAAAAAGTATATTTATTTAAAAGGCTTTTTAAAGAAGAAAGACATGTCAATCGAACAATCAAATGGAAACAATAAACAATTAATATAAAATTTCCAGAATCAAATATGTCTATAGAAGATCAATTTAAAAAATTCTCTAAAATTCAATTTATAATCCCTTTAAATTATCTTTTAATACAATTTTTATCCTTTTCTCCCTTTCCCTCACTTTTTTAAATTTGTAATTCTTGGAATTCTTGAACCTGAAGGCGTGTTTGGATATGCAAAACACATTGTCCGTTTGGTTGTTGGTGTCATTTGAGGCGGATTAGCTGTAACAGGACGAAACAGAACTTGACGAGATATTGACGTAGTTGGTTTAATTGTAGATGAATTAATAGATGAAGGAGTTCTTTGAGTTAAAGAGGTTGTCGATGGACGACCATTTTTGTTGTTTTTGGTAACATTTTGATTCATTGTAAGGGTTTTGTCTTTAATTGAAGATTTATTTGAACAAATTAATGCTTCTGAAGATACAAAATGTTCTGAATCTTTATTCGTCGCGTTAGAAGCAGGCAAATGAAAATTAGGAATGTCCTTTTGATAATTTAAAATAGAAATTAAAATTTTTTAAATAAATTACTTTGACTTTCTGATAATATTCACGAATTTTGGTCATTTTCCTTTCATCGGTAGCAACATTTTGAGTCAAAAAAGTTACAACAACTTGTTCTCCGGCACATTTTTGCAAAGCTCCCAATGCAGCACAAGAAGAATCTCTAACTTGTGGGTCAGATCCCGAACAATGCTAAAAAATTAAATTTTAAATAAATTTTCCTCTGAAAAAACCTCGCAAAGAATAGGCACCAATTCTTTAACAAATCCTTTAGGTAAATATTTTGCCGGTAAAGAACGAAAAAGTCTGTAGAGAGCCAAGTCTAATTGAGATTTTTGGCTAGGGTTGGGCTTTGTTGCAAATTCAATAATAAATGGCGTGATTAAATGTAAATTCTAAAAATGAAAAAATTCTTTTACAAACACGGAGAATTGTAATATTTTTAAATGCTTGAGTAAGGAGGTATAAGTAATATATAAAGCGAGGGGAGAATTTTGTATTGAAATTCAAAACTTATAATTTTTGCTATTAACCGTTAAGTTTTACTTAAATAATAATTTAAAGAGTTAAACACTAAACCTTTATCGAAGAAAAGAAAAGAGCATCAACTAAAATAGAAAGTGGCTCTTTCAAAGTTGCCTTTTTCTCTTTAAATTTGTCAAAACAAATTGGAGACAATCCGGCAGAGTAAGGAGAGAACCCAAAACGAAGTCCTTGAGCAATTAAACATAAACATTTGGCGGACATAGAAGCACAATTAATATTTGAATCCGAAGCAAGAACCTTAAAAATGAAAAATAAATGTTTGCAAAATTTTTAGCTTCTAAAGCTGAAAAGATTTACACGGTCTTGTTTTCCCTCATTTGTAATTCCTAAGAATTTTTATATTAAATTTTAAAATTATTCCCCATTAATAAAAACAAGATAAGTTAGAAAAAATTTTCAAGTAGTAAATTGAAATCACACCTTGCCAAGACTAGCAATTAATTGTTTATGCGCAGGATCATCCGCAATTCTTTTACAATCACTTAAAAGCTTAAACAAAAGTTCCAATCCTTTCATGCGTTCTTGCCATTTTTCATCAACTAGTAATTTATGAATGTCTGGTGAGATTTGGGAATGAATGTCCTTTGGTTCCAGAAGCTCCCAAACATCATTTTCTTTGCCATTGAGTTGTTCAGTTGATGAATGTCCCGATTTAATTTGAATATTTTCATTGCTGGAAGTGAGTAATGGAGCCTAAAATTTATGATTAAATTTTATGCTTTACAATTAGAGGAAAAAATTAATTTAAACCTTTTTTCTCAATTCTGCATCCTCCTCTTCAGCTTTAACCTTGGATTCTCTGATCTAACAAATAAAAATTAAGAATATACTTAAAAAATCTAAAACTTTAATCATTTTCCTTTCATCATTAGCAACATTTTGAGTCATAAAAGATGCAACAACTTGTTCTCCGACACATTTTTGCAAAGCTCCCAATGCAGCACAAGAAGAATCTCTAACTTGTGGGTCAGATCCCAAACAATGCTAAAGAAATTAAATTTTAAATAAATTTTCCCGTGAAAAAACCTCGCAAAGAACAGGCACCAATTCTTTAACAAATCCTTTAGGTAAATATTTTGCCGGCAAAGAACGAAAAAGTCTGTAGAGAGCCAAGTCTAATTGAGATTTTTGGCTAGGGTTGGGCTTTGTTGCAAATTCAATAATTGTTTGAGTCAAGGCTGATAAGTTCTTATTAGAAGCAAAGAAAAGAGCATCGACTAAAATAGTAAGAGGCTCTTTCAAAGATGCCCTTTTCTCTTTAAATTTGTCAAAACAAATTGGAGCCAATCCGGCAGAGTAAGGAGAGAACCCAAAACGAAGTCCTTGAGCAATTAAACATAAACATTTGGCAGACATAGAAGCACAATTAATATTTGAATCCGAAGCAAGAACCTTAAAAATGAGAAAATATAAATCGAAAAATTCTTGGCTAGCAATAGGATTAACGTATTAATTATAACTCAAAAATTGACTGTGCATACCTTGCCAAGACTAGTAATTAATTGTTTATGCGCAGGATCATCCGCAATTCTTTTACAATCACTTAAAAGCTTAAACAAAAGTTCCAATCCTTTCATTCGTTCCTGCCATTTTTCATCAACTAGTAATTTATGAATGTCTGGTGAGATTTGGGAATGAATGTTTTTTGGTTCCAGAAGCTCCCAAACATCATTATTGAGTTGTTCTATGATGAACATTGTAAACTAAGAGGAGGTCAAAATGAATAAAAAAATACTAAAATTAAATATTTAAATGAACAAAATAAAAATGAAAAGAAAGTTTTTATAACTTTTAGAGAAAATTAAACCACAGCGGGTCCACCCTGTTGACGCACAGTGGTTCAAAAGCGCGCATGGCTCCCATACAAAATCTCTATTCCTTAAAATCGCTATTCCTTAAAATCTCTACTAGGGTAAAAATGCTTAAAATCTCTATTCCTTAAAATAACTATTCCTTAAAATCTCTACTGGGGTAAAAATAATTAAAATCTCTACACCGTGCAAATGGACGGTAGAGTCTCAACAAAAGTGTAAAATATGAACTATTCATTGGAAAACCCAGACTTAGTAATGGATACGGATACAATTGATTTAAAAATGGCTGCGGATATCTGCTTGTATCCGCTGTAAATATCGAAGAGGGGTCGCTTTAGTATAGGTCCACCGAGATCGGAACTCAGACTATATACCATTCGATTCGTCTCGGCGAGCTGAGTTCAAATATGAAAGAATTTTCTGCCGGAGACGAAAACTCGCAGAGATATAGGCCCCCGAAAATCGAAAAACCATAGGGGGGACCAAGCACTTTTTGGGGGTGAAAAAGTAAAAAAAAAAAAAAAAAAAAAAAAACTAAAAAAAAAACTCAGCTCGTCGAGCTGAGTCGATTGACACCAAAATCAATGAAATCCGACTTGATTCGACCGAGATATAGACCCCTAAAAACCGAAGAATCAAAGGGGCGATTTTTGGAATAAAAAATTTTTTATACAAATAATAGCTCATTCGAAAGAGCTCGACGAGCTGAATCGAATGACACCAAAATCACCGTGAATGAACAAGATTAGACAAAGTTATAACACAAAAAACATAAAACCTAAACCTATGGGTCGGCGGCGAGGCGCTTGTGCGAAACCCCGCGCTTCGCGCGGGGTTTCGCGGCACGCGCCTCGCGGGGAGTCTACGGGCGCTGGGTCTGGGCTCGTAACATAAACCTATTCCTATCTCACTTGCTCTGGACATATTTGGGGCCTCCGTAGCAGCAAAAATCTCACAGATGTCATAGGTAAGGAGCTAAAATAAAAGACCATAACTTTGTCCAATGAAGTCGGATTTCGTTGATTTTGGTGTCAATCGACTCAGCTCGACGAGCTCTTTCGAATGAGGTATAATTTGCATATGCGAATTTTTCACCCCCAAAAAGTGCTTGGTCCCCCCTATGGTTTTTCGATTTTCGGGGGCCTATATCTCAGCGAGTTTTCGTCTCCGGCAGAAAATTCCTTCATATTTGAACTCAGCTCGACGAGACGAATCGAATGGTATATAGTCTGAGTTCCGATCTCGGTGGACCTATACTAAAGTACAGCCATCGAAGATATAATACACGACTGCTTCGCTGCGGTCGTGTTCATTTTGCTTGCGGTGATCGTATCGAAGCGGCTGCTGTCGTTCCGCTGGACATGCCTGGGTTCATCCGCAGCGGCAAAAACAATACAAGCAAAATAATATCAAAAGATAAGCCAGAAATCAGAACAACGTTTCCGCACTGAACGTTGGCACTCAAAAGGCTTCCGAATGAAAAAATAGACATTTTATCCTATTTTTGGACGTGTAGAGATTTTAAGGCATTTTTCCCTTGTAGAGATTATGAGGAATAGAGATTTTAAGGAATAGTTATTTTAATCATTTTTAGCCGAGTAGAGAACATTTTAGCTGTGTAGAGATTATAAGGCATTTTAGCCCAGTAGAGATTTTAAGGAATAGAGATTTTGAGGGGATACGGCGCGCCGTGTCCGGACAAAATATCGAATCGTTAAAATATGGAATAGGCTAAAAAAGGGTTAAAATCTCGAATCGGGTAAAAATGGGTTAAAATCGCGAATAGGCTAAAAAGGGGTTAAAATGTGGAATCGTTAAAATATGGAATGGTAAAAATATCGAATCGGCTAAAAAGGGGTTAAAATATGGAATCGTTAAAATATCGAATTGATAAAATGTCGACACGGCCAAAATAGGTCAAAATGTCGAATTTTTTTAAAGATGGCGCCAAAACCTTGAATCCGGGCGTTACCGTAATACCGACGGTATTTTTCGGTATTCCGTGTCGGTTGTACGGTACGGAATGCCGACCGTTAAAATTTAAAAGCTGGTCGGTATTTTTCGGTATTCCATACCGTATACGGTAAGGTCAAACTTTAGGTCTTAACTAAAAACTAATGCACACCACTCTAATTTTTCCATATCAGGATCGCGTTATTTTTCCGGATCCGTACGATCATGCCGGACCGGATCCGGTCGATTATGCTTGATTTATCCGGTCCGGTTTTACTCGGTAAAGTACAGTGAACTCAGACAGAAAAGATTACGACGGACTACGACGGACTACGACTTAACAAACTTATCAATCAACTTATCATCAATAAGCTGATAAGTTGACAAAATTATCAACAATCAACGTATGGCACAAATCTGACCCTTTTTTAAAAGAATTCGACATTTTGACCCATCTTGGCCGTGTCGACATTTTTACCATTCCATATTTTTACGATTCCATATTTTAACCCTTTTTTACCCGATTCGATATTTTAACGATTCCATATTTTAACGATTCGGTATTTTAACCCCTTTTTAGCCTATTCGCGATTTTAACCATTCCATATTTTAACGATTCGGTATTTTAACCCCTTTTTAGCCTATTCGCGATTTTAACCATTCCATATTTTAACGATTCCATATTTTGTACCGGAGCCCGGCGCGCATAGCAAAATTTGTGTAGTCTCTCGTTTTTCCTCTCTTTCATTTTCTTACTCTCTCTTTTTTAGGGCTCCCATACAAAATACCGAATTCTTAAAATATGGAATCTCAAAATCGCGAATCGGCTAAAAAAGCTCAAAATATGGAATCTCAAAATATCGAATCTCAAAATATGGAATCCCAAAATATCGAATCGGCCAAAAAAGCTCAAAATATCGACAATGCGGCAAAAGCCAGTTGAGTCTGAACAATTTTATCAACAACTTCGAAAAAAATTTAAAAATATGCAAAAGGGTTTTTCTAGGGTAAAAAATATGCTGATTACGAATCTGAGCTCGGATTTTGAAAAAGTCGAATCCCAGACCATGAACCGAGCTTCGAATCCCGAACCGAATTTCGATTTTCCGAATGATAGCTCATTTGAAAGAGCACGACGAGCTGCATCGACTGATACCAAAATCAATGAAATCCGACTTTATTGGACTGAGATACAGACCCCTGAATAAACTGAAAAAGACCTGCACTCAATTGGCGGCACTCAAACGGCCCTTTTCGATTTAAAAAATTCGACATTTTTAACTACTTTTTAGCCGATTCGGTATTTTGAGCATTTTAGCCTATTCGAGATTTTGAGATTCGATATTTTAAGATTCCATATTTTGAGCTTTTTTGGCCGATTCCATATTTTGAGATATTTTTCCCGATTCGGTATTTTGAGCTTTTTTAGCCGATTCGCGATTTTGAGAATTCGGTATTTTGTGCGGGCACGGTGTGACGCACGCGCGAAAACGGTGGCACGACAATTGTACAGTGGGACAATTGTACAGTGAGACAATTGTACAGTGGACAATTGTACAGTGGACAATTGTACAGTATTTATAGCTTTTTAAAAAGAAATTTAATTTTGCGCTAATGACAATAAATATGACCCAAAGTATCGAAAACCATATTGTGCCGAATGTGGCAATTTGTATCTCAAGACCCCTAGACTCAAACACAAACAAACTTATTTAAAAAGAAAAATATTTATTTAAATAATTAAAATTCCAAATATATTAAAAGGGGAGAAAAACAAAAGCTAGGCTGGTAGGAACGACTGGTAAAACTGGGAGTTCAAAAACTGAGCTCAAAAGCTGGGGATAGTCAAAACTGACTTTTTACATAAAAGTCAAATAGTTAAATAGAGGTAAAAAAGGGCGGTACAAACAAAGTTAGGTGAAAATGAGAGATAAATGGAATGGGCGGAATCGATAAGTAAAATTAAAAATAAATAAAATAAATTAAATTTTGAGGCAAAATTGTGCCTGTTCGGCACATTCCCCTCGGCGAGAAAAGAGGGAAGAAAAATGATGTCCAAAATAATCACAAAATAACTTATTAATCATCGGCTCTTCTATTTGTCTTCTTCCTCTCATTGATTGCCATTGTTGAGTTCGATTCCATCGCACATTCCAAGGGAAACTGGTTGAACATGAGGGTTTTCTCTACATCCGCTGCGGATGCAGAAACAAGGTGTGGCCTTAGAAATACTCTGATCATTGCTATAAGGCCAGGGTCGCTTTCGACCATAACGGGCTGTTTGGAACTAGAGGGCACTGGAGCCCGAACATTCACTTGGCTTAACCGGACGGCGGCTGGTATTGCTGGAGGCTTCGGACCTAGAGGTAAACTGACTTTACTCTTTCTTTCTCTGGATTTTTTACTAATACATTCTAGGATGGCTTTCAAAAGAGCTCTCTGCTCATTGCTTTCCTCTTCACGGATTTTCTTGTCTTCGGCTCTACGCCGTGTAGCTCGGTTATCTTTTAACTTTTCATGGTTTAACTTGAATTTCTCTTTCGTATTTCCCCCCAAAGCATTATCCTTACCGGTTTCCAACCCAATATTTTGTTGTTGTGAAGGTTGTTCCATTACTTGTTGCTCACTTTCCTGCTGGTCTACTTTGTTGGGCGCATGTAGAGGATTTAAAATAGAATAAAATAATGTTTGCTGTTGTTCTGGCGCTTTGTTGATTTCCACAATTTTCTCAATTTTTGATGTATTTTCTGCTGTTTGCTCTTCATAAGAGTCGAGAGCACTTTCGCTAATTGATGCTACAATATTGCTACCAGAACCCATAATATCAAAATCCTCACTTACTGGTTTGTCCAACTTTCCAAAATATGCTGTTTCTCGTTGTTCTGAAGTAAAACTTGTTGTTGGGTAAGGAAACACGGAGAACAACCGCGATGGGTTAGGAAACAAACAAAGAGTATGTCTTTTGTTAAAAATCGGCTCTATAGCCACAACTGGGAATGGTTGAATACTCCGAGCTACTAATCTCGGTGGAAGGCTTCGCTGAGCCAGTAGAAAACATGGAAAAACTTTCTTTAAATTTAAAACAAAAGGTACTTGAGCTGAAATAGCTGGAGGAGGATTGTTAGGGCGACTAATGATAGGTCCGTCCTCTGGCAAAATTCTACCGCCTAGCCATTTAATTATTTTTGTCTCTGCTTTAATAAAGGGAGTACCTATTCGCCCAAACTGTTGGCGTTCGTCCTTCTGGGAATTGATTAATAAAATATTGTCCTCTAGCGGACTATCACCAATTACTTTGTGTAAACAAATTTTTTGAAAAATTCTGGTGGGGTCTGGTGAAACTTTGTGGTTTGGGTCTCTGACCCCTTCCCCACTTCGCGAAAAATTAATTAAAATGATGGGAATAAAAAATGCTAATGTGCTTAAAAATTTGAGTTTAAAACTAATGATTAAGGTTTTTATACTGATTATCAAAATTAAATAAATGGATATGATATTTCTGTTTATTAAAGTCTTGTTTATGGATTTAAATGCTTTAAAAGGTATATCAGGTGGAATTTTCTTCCTCTTGATGGTCTGCTCTTCTCGGCAGACTACTATTTGGTCCTTGTGGTCACAGCTAACGTTTATTATAAATGTCAGAGAAATTAAAATGAGTGTGATTCCATATCCGGCTAGGTTTTCCTGGGTCATTTCTATTGACTTCTCTAGTCTTTTCTTGGCTCCATGAGCTTTCTCGTCTAATATTTGTTTAGGAAATAGCTTTTCTGGTAATAATGTATGTGAAACACTAGTATTCTCTATTAAATGAAGATCTAAAGGGTCTTTCACCTTCTGGAACTTAGTAAATTCTCGGTTGGTTCGGCGCAACCCAACCATTAGAAATGCTGATTCAAAGTTGCTAGTTGCTATAAATTTGGGCAATCGGTAACTCGGTACAAGTCCTACAAACTCTGGTAGGAGTACTGGTTCCTTTACATGACAATCACTGAGAAATGGTTGACTCTCGGGTTGGACAATCACATCCAAGGCTTGTCGCTTGATATGCGCACTAACCACACTGTGGGTCAACTGCTCCTGGGCGGCTGGTTTATTAAGTTCGAGTCTGGTAATTCTATTATCTTTCTCTATCTGGAACTTGTGATAAGGCAAATCTACTTGTTTGGTTATTATATTATCTTTCTCTATTTGGAACTTGTGGTAAGGCAAATCTGATGAAAGATTCAAACTTTCACAGCTAGGAGAATCACTATTATCTTTGAGGCGGGTAATCTGATCGTCAACTGTTGACGTGTTCTCTTTATCTCTATTATTCCCTTGTATTTGCTTCTCATCTTTCTCTTTAACTTTCTTACTCATTAGTAGCTTCTCTGCTTGAGGGCAAATATCAGGCTCTGTGCCCACCTCTGGTTTAACTATTTCCTTGTTAATAGTAAATAATGTCATTATCTTGGGTCTAACTGGTAACGGCTCGGTAAATTTCACAACTTCTGGAACTGGAACACGTTCCTGAACTACAACCTTCTGAGTGGGTTGAATTTTGGTCTGAACTGGTGCGATCTCTTGAACTTGCTTTAATTGGTGTCGTACTGACGACGTTTTATTCGTACTAATAATTGGACTCTGATTTTGGACTAAAATCATATGGGAAATTTGTTTCTCTGGAAAATAATTATCTTCAGCTGGGGCTAGAAAATCCTGATTATTTTCAACAGTTCTCGTGCATACTAGCACGTGATGGTTACCTTGACATTGAGCGCAAATATTTAAGGAAGGGCATTCTCTGGCATAATGACCTTCCCCAAGGCAACGGAAACAACGTTTCTGTTCTTTTAATCTCTGAAACCGTGCCTGAGGTGTTGAATAACTAGGGCATTCACTTGGAAAATGTGCTCCTCCGTTGCACAGTGAACAATGTCTTTTACCCTGAGGGGGCAAATGTCTGCTTTGAATAGATCGCGATTGGGCACAGAATGAATGGAATTGCTCGGTATGTCCTGTTCTAGGACGGTAATCATTTCTCTGATGGATGGGAGGGGCAACTGAACCTCCCTGAGGTCTTATTTTAAGTTGTGAGAAACGCATAACCTCCTCACTAATCTCAACTAGGTTACATAATTCTTGTCTAAGTCTGGCACTGTCCCATCTGGCTTGGGAATATCGTTCCTTCTCAATTAACTTGGCAACTATAGATTGGGGCAGCTTGGTTTTGATAACTGTGGACACGAATGGGGACTGATCCATCGTTCCAAATGCCTCTAACTGCCGGCAAATTCTTTCCACCGAGTCAACGAATGCCCTTAAGGAATGGCTGGAGTCGTTGGGTGGGGTGAGGTTCATAAGTTCAGCCTCTAAAGCCTCTGTGATGGCCCGGCTATTTCCATAACGTGATTCGAGCAAGTCTAACGCTCTATCATAATTTTCGTTGGTAAGGACAAAACCTGCTACTAAATCCTTTGCTGGTCCTTGTAAAAAGGCAAGAAGGTAACTCATCTTTCTGATATTATCCATGGGACGCTGGTCAATGTTAGTAGAGAACATTTGCCAAAAGGTAGGCCACTTTTTAGGATCACCGTTAAAAGGATCCATCTTAAGTTCTGGAAGCCTAACCTCTATCGGTTGATACTGATTATTCTGCTCTGACTTAAAATTCTGATTTTTCTGCTCATAAACATGTTCTGATTTATCTGTGAGGGTGGCTTGGCTACCTTGTCCAGAAGGCACACTTGTCTCCTCTAGGAGGTAATCAATCTCATTTATTACCCCCCTGGCCCTTTCAGCCATATCCATAAAATGTTTATATTCCTGAACGTCTCCCGCTGCTCGGGGCAAAAATTCCTGATATACTTGCTCCTCATGCTCGAGGCCTTCTCCCACTAGGGTATCTATAAACTCTGTCCATCGAACGTGTAAATCGTCGACTCTAACTAGAGCTCGACTCAAATGAAAACGCGCTGCACGTAAGGAATCTTGATTCTGGTTATCCTGATTAGTGGCTAACAACTGAGTAGCGGATACTAATTGATCCTTTAATGTTTTGAGGGCTGGTCCTAACTGAGACCGGATGAGCCTTGAAGATGGCATGATTTGAGTAACTTGTAAACTTGATTTCTGATATTAATAAGCACTGAACTGGTGGGGACTCTAACCGGCACACCAGTGGGAAAAAGGGATTCGGTTCTTCTCAACCGATAAATTAAAGTTCGGCTATCTGAGCCGTGAAGAAAATCTTTAAATTAATTCGGCCTTTGCCGTGCAGAAAAAAATTTTAAAAATTAAATTTATAAAAATTTATTTATTTTTCCAATAAAATGTGCAAAAAGAGATGACACACCAGATGTGTGTTGTGTTTATTCGGCTATCTGAGCCGTGAAGAAATTTGTTTTATAAAAAACCCCCTTTAAGGTTTTTCCTTTCTTTTCTAACTTTTAGAAAAATTCGCTCTCTAGCGATGAAAAAATTTTATTTTTATAAATGTAAACAACCGAAGATAATCTTTTGTTTTTACACCAGAAGTGTGTAAAATATACAAAAGAAAGGAAAAAACGGCCTAACTTGCCGATATAAATTTTTGAAAAGGAATGCACAAAAATGTGCAAAAATGTTTATTTTGTGTTGGCCTTTCCTATGGCCAAAGAACACAAAAACTATTTTTTAAAAAGAAAGGGAAAAATGGCGCAACTCGCCAGATGTGCAAAAAACTATAAGGAATGTAAAAAGGCGCAGGCTCTCTGATTGGCCGGCCAAAAGGACTGTTTGAGTCTGAAAAGGGTCACTTGAGTATGAGGTGTCCAAGGGGTACTTGGGACCGGCACTTGGACTGTAGACTGATTTTATTGAACGATGGGCACTTTGGGGGCCGGCAATCGTTTATCCGACGGGCACTTGGGGCCGGCACTCGGAAATTAGGTATCTAGGTAACGACGGGCACTTTGGGGCCGGTAATCGTTAAAGGTAACTAAAATTAACTGATGGCACTATTGCCAAAAAAAACTTGTTGGTACTAAGGGTTCGGCTCTGTGCCGGGAAGATTATCAGTGGGTCGTTCCCACTCGATAACAAAAACTTTTAAAGAACGGTGGGCACTATTGGGCCTGCTACTCGTTCTGGGGCTAGGGATCCAATGATCGGCACTAGCCGTGATGAAGATAACGGGTATTCACTGACCCGTACGGGGCTCCAATTTTTATGTGCCGAATGTGGCAATTTGTATCTCAAGACCCCTAGACTCAAACACAAACAAACTTATTTAAAAAGAAAAATATTTATTTAAATAATTAAAATTCCAAATATATTAAAAGGGGAGAAAAACAAAAGCTAGGCTGGTAGGAACGACTGGTAAAACTGGGAGTTCAAAAACTGAGCTCAAAAGCTGGGGATAGTCAAAACTGACTTTTTACATAAAAGTCAAATAGTTAAATAGAGGTAAAAAAGGGCGGTACAAACAAAGTTAGGTGAAAATGAGAGATAAATGGAATGGGCGGAATCGATAAGTAAAATTAAAAATAAATAAAATAAATTAAATTTTGAGGCAAAATTGTGCCTGTTCGGCACACATATGATCAATATTAATTTTTTTAATTTTATTATATGTACAACATTGGGAAGTTGTTCAATGACGGGGAAATTTATTTTGATCAAATTTTTCAATTAATCAAACGAGAGAGTGATCGATTGATCAATTAATCTCTAATAAGGGGAATCTTGATTGATACCTAAGTTAATCGATATCTGAGTCGTTTATCGATCTCGTTTGATCACTCTTCCGCTTGATTATCACTCGGTTTTCGATATCGATATTTCTCTATCTTTTCCGATTTTCACTTACTCAACTGATTGATTCATCACTCAACTGATTGATTACTCTTGGTTGATCACTTTCTATGTTGATAACTCCCCCGATTGATCACCTACTTCGTTGATTAATTCAACGAATTGAATTTTTTCGTCCTTGGAATAACTTTCCCATATTGTGAAATAAAATTTAAAAAATTTAGTGTTGATCATATGTTTTCGATATTTTGGGTTAACATTAAATTTTTTTAAAAAGCTCTTAATACTGTACAATTGTCCACTGTACAATTGTCTTCTGTACAATTGTCTCACTGTACAATTGTCCCACTGTACAATTGTCATGGAGCCGCGAAAACTAGCTAACTTTTTTACTAAACATAATGCCAAAATTTAAATTAAATATCTATGCACTCTTCATTTTATTGCATCTCTCGTTGGCTTTATTGTAAACATGAGAAAGGGTCAGAAGGAGACAAGTTATAAATTGGTCAGAGGGAGGGAAAATGTCAATTCTCTCATTTATGAGGGGGAATTAGTTAAATTTTATAACTTTTGACCCTCCCATCTGATTTTTTTTCAAATTTTGTAGTTTTGTGGACCTAAATGAGTTAAACTGATTTATTTAATAATAATAAATTTATTTAATAAATAAATACAAAAACTTTTTGTGTACTAATTAAAAATAACAAAAATAGATCACTCATTTTGTTAACTTTCTATAGAATTTGGCACAGATTCTGTGTTATGGCAAAGTAAAGATAAATTCCAAAAAATTCCATCAGACAATACAATTAGTGCAGGAATTAATATTAAAGAATGAATAACACAAAGAATAATACAAGAAAACATTATTTTAACAAATATTTGTGCCATATAAAGAGGAACTAATAATAATGCAAGAACACAAAATGATGTTGATATTGCTGCTTGTAATGCTGGTATTCCAACAGCAAGTAAAGTAGTTGTTAAACGTTGATTGAGGAATAAATGTCGGTCATTTTTGTTGATTGGTTTTGGTAAATCAAAACCTTTAAAATTTTAACTTTAAACAATAAATGAGAGGATATTAAGTATGTCTAATCAAAAATAGGGCTGAGGGGAACAAAAGTCCCTGCACCGTTTACCATTAATGTTTCCAAATTTTTTAATGCATAAATCGACTAAAATATTCGGTTTTTTACAATTACAATAATGACTTATGGAGATTACAGATAGTCAAACAATTTACCAGAACTGTAGAAGTGATATGAAACATGGGCAGGGATGTCTATACTAAATCCAATTGAGATTACTAAAGCAGCCTGAAAAAAATAATTTTTATGTTAAATTAATTTATATTCAATTTACCATCATAATTGGATCCATAGTAATATCCATCCAAGCTAGAATACCCAATGTACCCAAAATTATAGAGCCAATACTTATACCAGCTAAAATAACTGTTCTCCATTCTCCTCCCATAAATAATGCACAAATTGTTGTCATACAAATTAATGTTGCTAGTGCTGATTGCCATGCATCTGTTGGCATATTATTAATTAAATCGAGGAATAACCCCTCATCGTTGAAAACAGTAGCATTTAAATCACTGTATTTATCGATAATATCACGCCATTTATTTTGAAGATTAGCACGTCTTTAAATTTAAAAAGGTTACTTTATAGACCCTTAGAGGTGCTTTGCAGGAAATGGCGGCCCCGCTAACTTAAAGACAGGGAAGTAAGGCCGTGTTGGATGTTATTGGAGAATTACAGACGGTAGATAAGATAAACATGTGTCCAGTTTTCGTCTACTAAATTTTTATGCTTTCTTAAACACTTTTTTAGAAAATAATTGTAAGTAATATGTTCTTATTTCATCTTCTAATTAAAAAATATTAATTTACTCTGCCCATTCTTTAAGACTTTCTCCATGATAAGCAGTTGTAAAGAAAAAACGTTTTAAAGTTCCATTTTCTCCATCTGTCCTAACAAAAGCCTTCCAATGTTTATTCTCTGGCCATTTCAAAAATTCATTTATCAATCCATTATTTAAATCATTTAAAGATTCCTCTCCCAAAAAATCAGATAAATGTCTAATAAAATAATTTGTACTTGAAGACCCCCAACTTTCTGGTAAACTTTCCATTTCATTAACAAGTTTATTTAAACGTTGAATTTGTGCAGGATTAGATAAATTACCAGGATTATTAACGAAAATTGTTGCCATAGTAAATAATGGAACGATTTGTTGTTCACGGTAATGGTCAATCTGTGCAATTATGGAAAGTTTTGTTTGTAGATTTTATATAAAATATTGAAATACCGTAAATGCTCGAATTAAATCCCTAGGCATCTAATGGGTCACTTTGGGTGACTTATATTAGATATGGGCTTCTAATAAAGCCGGGTTTTTGTTATACGGTTAATTCATCTTCCCCGTCTCTTCGAAAAATTTCCTTCATGATCATTTTTCTGTAAATGCCAAACTTTTTTGACAACTTGTTTAAAAAAATTCTTAAATTAAATTAGACTTAATACTAGTTCTTGTTTAATTGTCATATGTACTTTGTATTCATAATTTAGATATATTTAATTACCTCTAGAAGTAAAGAATCACTTGCAAAAAGTTTTTTCGTGCTTAAATTTACTTTAAAATGAGAAACACCCTTAAAATAATTTTTAAATTTAATTCTTATTAAAAAACAAACAATAACAGAAAATATAACAAAAATAATCCAAAACAAGCAAATAATAAAAGAAATTAAAGGGTTCATAATAAATCCAACATATTGTTTTGTTGTTTTGTTTAATTGGTTCTTTAGATTTAAATATAAATTATTGGATATCTAAATTAATTAAATGTAAAAAAAGTTTTAAAAAATATATAAAAATAAGTTTTGGCTCCAGTCTACACAATGGTATAAAAATATTTGAAATTTGAGACTAATACCAATTTATAGTCACCACGTGATCTTATTTTTTTAAATTTTATTAAGCCCACAATAACTATCCAAAATTGAAATAGGCTACATTAGAAATTTCATGGCATATACACGAAATTAAAAAATATAAATAAAAAAATCAGTTTCTACCTAAACAAGAGTCATTTATTTATTTTTACCTTATTTTTAGGTCTTTGATTAATTGTTTTATTTTTACAAATTCCTTTAGAACCAATTAATATACTCAAACATAATTTTCTATTATTCTCATTTAATTGTTCTGATTTTAATTCTGATTCGTCTAATAATGCTATAACTGCCTAAAATAAAAAATTAAATAAACAAAATTATTCTAATAAATCATACCGCATAAAAAGTAATTTGATATATAAAATCAACAGTAATTGCAGCCATACTTCCCATACATAAAAGTGTAATTTCTGGGGATCCAGTAAATGATCCTATTGCATCTGCACAAATATTTGTTAAAGCAGAAATTAAAATTGCAGGCCCAGTATCGACTAATACCTACGAAATAAAAAAAGAAGAATGTGCCTAACAAAAATTGATCCAAAATCGGGAAATATTTAGGTGGTTAAAAACATAATCCCCGATTAACAAATATTTTTAAAAAATATATATAAATCCCATCCTTAACCCTCACATATTTTGGAGGACTAATTGTACAAAGAAAATTAATTTTAGTTTTCTCAATAACTTCTCTCCTCAATAACTAACCAAAGCCATTCTTTTAGTAACCCTTTCCTTAATTGTTTCAATAATTCCTCGATTTATTTCTTTTTCTTTTGATTTAATTCTTTGCCAAGCATGTATCATTAAATAAGCATCATCAACACCAATTGCAAGAACAAGAAAAGGAGTAACACAAAGAACTGTGCCAAAACGAACACCAAAAAGAAATAAAAGACCTAAAGCAGTTCCGCTAGCCATTAAAGGGCACAAACAAGCCATTAATGCTAACCAAAGTCTTTTATAATTAAATTGATTCATATAAGAAGCAGATAAAAGAACAAAAACAGAAGAACAACAAAGCATAATTACAAAACCAACCTGGAATGATTATTTTAAATTAATAAAAAAAATTCTAAAAATTAAATTATTTGGGTACTACTAATTTTTTAAATTAGTGAGAATTATTAAGACTGTATTGAAATATACTGAAAATAATTCTTGTTTCAGAATTTTATTAATTTTTTCAATTTTAAAATTTAAACAAACAATAATAAAAGGAAGCATAGTTAATCCAGCACGAACAACTTCTACTTCAACATAAGCTGTAGAAACACTCAAAACACGAATTAAAGAACTATTAAATTTTTCACTAAAAATTAAATCTTTAAAAAATCTTCAAAAAAAGACAAACTCATCAAAATATTTAGATACAGACAATTGCCAATTTTTAACTTCATCATCAGACCATCCCCCAACTCTTTCTGCTTTATATATTAATGCAACCATTTCAACTTTGGCCATATTAGATAATTCAATATTGTTGCTGTTGTTGTTAGTATTGTTTGTATTTAAATGAATACCGAAGAAATTTGGCTTAAAACTGACAAAACATTTAATTTAAATAATTTAAAGAGAAAATATTTTTTAAAAATAAAAATAGTCTATTTTCTTAAATTTTAAATTATAAGGAAATTAAAAAAGGTACGATTGACTCAATTGTGCTATTCTCCTCTCCTAATTTTAATATAAGGTATCTATAACCGTAAATAGCTTTACAGTTTAAATAATTATTTTTTAACAAATTAATTTACCTGAATGTTAAATGTTCTCCCAAAAATACTACTCAAAGGATAATTAAGTTTAATATTAGGATTTAATGTTTCATTAGATTCTAAACGTTGTATTTGATGTTGAAACCCTTCCTTAAATTTAAATGATATTATTTAAAAAATATATTTAATTAATTTACTTGAAATCTCCTCAAAGGTTCATTTAATTCACAAAAATCACGGCAAAATTGAGAAAAAGTTTCGGAACGGTTTTTGTTTAAATTAAATAAAGGAAAATTTTGATTAACAATATCATCAACTTTAATTGCTTCATTCAACATTTTTTCGTTTAAAAAATTATCATTATCTTTATTATTTTGTTTTTTTGGTAAAAGTAACAAAAATACTCCAAAAGGGGATCCTCCTCCATCTTTGTCATTGAAAAAATGTTCTCGAATGGCCTAAAAAGGAAAGGAAAATAAAATACGATTATTAAATTTTAATTAATTTAGACAATATTTTTGGTAAATTGGACTTATAATTTCATAAAAATAGTAAATAAAAAGCAAATAATGGTTGCCAAAATCGCTCAATTTGGACCGAAGAATGGGTGAGGTGATAAAAAATTTGTCAAGTTTAAGCGGGTTTTTGAAATGGAAAATAAATCTCTCTCTGATTTTAACTGATATTTCTACTTACTAATTCTTGTCTAGAACGAGCTCCATAAGGTGTATATCCTGTTATATCATTTTTATATCTAAAAAATAAATAATATTTAAATAATATTTAAAACTATTAACTGTGTCATAACAACTTTTAAAGTACATAAAAGAGTAATTAATGTACATATTGCAATTATGGCCTTGGAATTCCGAACAATAAATATTGCCCAATAATTATAGGCAAGATGAACAAATTTAAGTAAAGAAAATTTTGATTTATTATTTTTGTTATTTTTATTATTAGATGAAGTAGTTGGTTCTGAAATTTAATTAAAATATTTTTAAAAATATTTTAGAAATAAATTTAAATTATTTTGATTAATATTTTTTTAATTTTTTACCAAAATTTGATGTTTCAAATGATGAAAAATTTTTTAAAGAATTTTCTGTTTTATTCATTTTAACTAATAACAGTCTTAAATTTAAATAATTAAAATAAATTAATTATTTTATGAAAATATTTTTATTTAAATAAAAATCGGAGCTTATAAAAAATTATTTGGAAGCTCTATTTTGTTTTTGTCAAATTTTATGAAAGGTATTTAATTTTTAAAAATAATTTTTCATTATAGAAAAGCTTAGAAATAAATTTAATTTTTATTTTTAAATTTAAACAGAAGTTGTTGAATAATTAAAAATTTGCATTTAAAAGTTTTGTTAAAACGTGACGTAAAAGGCGGTAATAAAATAAAATCAAAGAAAAGAAGATTTGTATTCTAAAATAAAAAAAAACTTTTTTTAATAAATTAAGGTAATTTAAAATTAAAAAGAAAATAAAATACAAATTATTTATTTTCAATACATACCTCCAAAAAATATAAACAAAAAAAATAAAAAGAGAGTATTACGAGATGCGCAAAAATATTTCTTAAAAAAGAAAATTTTTGTTGTGTGGTTTAACAATTATTTTACTCATCATTTCCTTTAAAATGAAAAACTTTTAAATTCTTTTTCTCTAAAATATTTCTCATTCTAAACTTCAAACTATATTTATATATGTATATACCGGTTTTTACAACATTTTAAATTAAAAAAAGAACACAAATTTTTAACAAAAACTGCGGGAGGGAGAAAAAGAGAGAGAGAGAGGTTGTGTCTATATTTTTGTTTAAAAAATTTATTTTTTATTTAATTAAAAAAATTAATTTTGATTAAATCATTAGAATTTAAAAGATGAGAAAATAAACGAATTCTATTTATTTTTATTAAAAAATATATGTATAATATTAAAAAATTGGAAATAAATCACAAATACAAATTTTGTTTCAAGAATTTTGTAGTATGTACATAATTTAAAGTAAAAAAGTAAATAAAATATATTTAAATATCAAAAAATTTCGGAAACTAATATATAAATAATGGACATATCTATGAGGGAAAAAAGTACATAAATAGAGTGTTATTTGTTGAAGAATATCCTTCTAATAAAAAAATACAGTGGTATCTCGTTAAAATGTCTCCCCAATCAAACGTTTCTTAATTTATAAGTCGACTTGAATCAATCACGAAAGCAACATATTAGCGAGATTCCACTATATTTAAAATAGATTAAATTTTAATAATTAAATATCTAAATTTAAAAATTAAATAATAAATATTGTTAAAAATTTTGTAAAAAATCTCTTTCGTTTATTTTAATCCATTTAATTTAGTTATAAATTTGTGTAATTCATTATCCCCCAAAACAAATAATTCTAAACGATCGTCAGCACAATTTAAGGCTATTTGTCTTTGTCGAGAAGGCGCAGACGCGCCGGCACTGTAAACAATATCAGAACCGTCAAATTGTAGCTAAACAAAAATTTAGGTATTTTTTATTTTTAAGTTAATATTATTAAGTAAAAATTAATTCTTAATACAGCTCGCAATTTACATTTTCGCAAAAGGGGATGGAACCCCGTCCCGGAAAATCCCTTCCCCGGGGAACCCTAACCTCAAGCTACCAAATAAATGGTTAACAGTAGAAAGGGAAGAAAGATATTAAGATCTAAAGTGGACAAGAAGACTGATATCCCAAAAATATAAGGCCCATACTCTTTTACCATTCCTCAATTTTTGTGTCCTCATAGTCTTTATCCTCCGCTACGTCAAAATTACCGTATATACTCTATTAATTACCCTGGGTAATTATTGTTTCGACCTCACTCTGGAGAGGGTAATTAATAGAGGCGGGGTAATTAATAGAGGTTATTTTAGGAAGGCTAATTATAACTATTTTTAAGGGGGTAATTATTGTTTCAACCTTTCGCTGGAGGGGGTAACTAATAGAGGTGGGGTAATTATTTGAGGGAGGGTAATTAATAGAGTATATACGGTAGTTTTAATTTCCTTTTAACGCTTCTTGTTCTCAGTATCATGTATTATCACTTCACTTTTTACCACAGATTTAATCCTTTTAACAAGTTTTTAAAAAAGAAATTATTAAATTTACCCAAACTCTCCAAGTAAGATTTGATGCATCATCAGGCAATTGATCATATTGTACAATTGCAGAATATAAAGAATTAACACAGAAAAGTATTTGAGAAAGTTCTGGATCTATTTTAAACCTTTAGTAAAAAATTACGAAAAAATATTTTTTAATTTGTTTTACGGCGTATTTTGACATTTTCCTTCTTTTGGAGAGTAAAAACCTTGTGTAGGATTTAATTCATCCCGAGTTTGAACAAATTCACATAATCGAAAATGTTCGCCTACTCTAACTGAAAAACAATATAAATTTAGAAATTTAAAAGATAAATTGATAGTTTAAGTAATTCTCTGAGAAATTCTCAAAAAAAGAAAATATGTACTTATATTTCACACAAATTTACTAACCAAGTTTAATTAATTCATTTGCTGTAGCTTTAGGAAAGAAGAATCCATGTGAAATAAAATTATTTGGAAGGTGTTCTTCTTTAATATCGTGCAAACTAAATAAAAAATAAAAATTAAAATTTATTTTTAAATAATTTACATATTTCTTTTTAAGTCAAGAATTGCATGCTTTTTTGTATTATGTAAAAGTAAAAGAGCTTCTCCATCAACTAATGTTTGCCAACGAGGGACAAAATCATAAAAAGAAGCTGCCGATATTTGAATATTATCTGAGAAAATTAAATTAAGATTAGAATTACTTTCAACCCCCCCCCCTCCCAACCTCTCCTTCCCCTCCCCTCACTCCTCAGCAAAAAAAAGAGAAAAATTTAAATATAAACTTTAATTAATACCTACCTTTAGTCTCCAAAAAACATTTAGTTAAATGCATATGTCCATTCCCTTGCGAGGAACAACAAACTAAATGAGGAGTAAAACGAATACAATTTCTAAACTTTGTTGGGGCAATATCTCCAATTTGTTCTTCCACACTCGAAACATGAAATTTATTAAATCTATTGAAAAAAGAATAAAAAAATAATTTATAAAAAAATTTATTTACTTAAATCCATCTAAATATTCATCAACATTAATAGTTTCAGATTCTAACATTTGTTCATCAGAATCAAAAACAGAAATAATTACATCGTTGTTTTGTTCATCAAAACTTATCCAATCTCTTAAAAAAGTAAAAAAAGGTTAATTTAAAATATTTATTGAAATTATAATTTTTTCTGATAAATCTAGGAATTTTAGAAAAAAAAATGAAAACGAAATTGTTAATAATTATTAACTCTTTACCTATTTCCTTTAACAGCCCCCAATCCAATATGAGAAAACACTAAAGGTTTATGATCATCTTCTAAAGCTTTGTGTGTATTTAAATCGTCATCTGATTCATTAGATTTGTAAATAACATAAACAAAAATTTTAAATAAAATAATCGCCAAAATAATTCCAAAAACAATTAATAAATTTCTGGTTGTTAAATAATTACGAAAACCTTTATTTAAATTAAATATTTAATTAAAAATTAAAAAGAATGCCTGGAGGCCTAACAATTCGACGATTTGAGTTGACATTTCCTTGTGTGGAGGATGCATTAGCCAAAAGGGTAGAATTTTGTGTTTGTCCACCAAAAGGACTAAAAGAAAATAAAATTTTTTTTAATTTTTAATTAATTTACGTGTAGGGTGGTGGATGTTCGGATGGGGGAGGGGGGATTTTTAGAGGTAATTGTGGGGGTCTAGGTGGTTGTTGTTTTGTAGAAGATGGATTTGTTGTAGAATTTGAGGGGGAATTATCGGCATTTAATGATGATGAAGATGAGGAGTCAGAAGGGGCTGTGGGATCGGTATTCTTATTTTTATGGGTTTCTTCCATCCTTATATTAAATTTAACTAAAATGTAATTTAAATAAATAAATAAAATATGTGTAGTTGTTATATTTAGTTAATGCTATATGTATATTGTAAATAAAGATAAGTTAATTTTTGTGAGTATAGCGAACGATAAGATAATAAAAATTTAGAGAAAAGCATTAATGTATACAAATATTTTTTTAAAAATTTATTCCATAAAAGTTGTTATGAAATTGCTTTTGATTGATTGAGCAAAGAATGAGGATGAAGGGAAAAAATTTGGAAGAAGTGAAAATTTAGAGGTGAGCGGCTGGAAATTGGGGTAAATACGTGGTATTTGATGAAATAAATGACAGTCATGAATGAGCGCGACAGGTAATCGATTTTGAGGGCAATATTTAAATAGTTAAATAATTTAATTATTTGTTTGTTTTGAATGTTTGTTGAATGTTAATGAAATAATTGAAATTAAATTTTATTAAAAATATTATTATAGAAAATTTAAAAAACTTTAAAAATAAAAATACAATAAAATTATTATTAAATTTATAAATAATTTACAAAATGAATCAAACACAAAAACAATTACTAAATAGATAATTACAGGGAGAATAATAATTTTTTAGAGCTATAAAAACACAAGTATACACTGCGGTGCATATGTTTATGCACACTAGTTTTTTGTTCATAATTTTATGCAATCTTATTCAAAAAATACGTTCTATATAGCAATCGAAAGCTCTATTTGTATGTAGAATCTTGTATGTAGAATCTGGAGAAGAATCACATACATTTTTTACAGACTTCAAAAAAAAATTTTCCGAAAAGTTGAAAATGTAGTACCTGTTAGACCGGTCGAAAATTTTTCGAAAATGTCAGAATTTCGAAAAATGCAGAAACATGTCAACTGAGATACAAATAGAGCTTTCGATTGCTATATAGAACATATTTTTTGATTAAGTGTGCATAAACTTATTAACAAAAAACAAGTGTGCATAAACATATGCACCGCAGTGTATTCTTCAAGAATATAAAAAATTGGAGAGAACTTATTCTTAAAATATTCTCCCAAGTTTGTATGTTTGGAGGAAACTTCACCAGCCTTACAGTTATTTATTCATTTAATTAATTAATTTTAAAAAATAACAACTTTTAATAGATAAAATTTAAATTGAAGCCAAATCAGTTGAAGTTGAAGCTGGATTAATATAAGCTTTTCCGATCAGCTCAAAATTCAAAGCAAATTCCCTTTTAATTAGTTAATTATTCATTTATTTATTTTAATGTTCTCTTTCAATTTTTTTAAATTTTCTTTTAATTTATTTTATAAAAAAGCTTTTCCTATAATTATATATATTTTTTTCTTTAATTGACTCAATTAATTTTATTTCTTTTTCTTTTTTTTCTTTTAATTTATTAAAAATATTTATTTATTCATTGATTTTATTTTAAATTATTAATCAAAAAAATATTTTTTAAAAGCTTTTTATTCTCATATATAAAAACTATCAAACATTCCCGTGACTATTTAAAATAGTATAAATATTTAAAAATATTTTATATATTTCTTCAATATTTTCTTTCATCCAAGTGGTTTGTTAAAAAAGGCACCGGAAATCTTTTATTTTTTCTTTTCCTTTTTTCCCTTCTCCTTCATCTTCCTTTCCTTCCGTTTTTTAATAATAAATACAATAAAAAAGTTTTACTTTAAAAATTCCAGCTGCGCTTTTTGGCCATCTTTGGCATTTCTTTTTGATTAATAATTCTTTAAAAAATAAAGAGAAAGAGGAGACAGGGAGAGAAAATAAAATAATGAATAAATAAATATTATTTATATATTGAAAAAGCTATTAAATAAAATCTTTTAACACATAAAAATTGCTTAAAATTTCTAAAAATTATTTTTATCATTAAGAATTACCCAAATTTTTAATATATTAAATAAATTTAATTATTAATTTTTTTAACTATTGTGAAAGTTTATATTTTATGTATATTTTACTTTAATAAACTGATCTCTTTCTTAAAAATCAGAAAATTTTCTCCAATATTTAAAACAAATTTAGAATTGTCTTAACAATATATTTAATTAATTTTCTACAAATATTTTTATTTAAAATTAAATTTATGTATCAATTCCTCTAATTCCTTTTTTATGTCTTTCCATAAAATATATTAATTCCTTATCTAAAAAATTAATTAAAAAGGCATTGCTTATGGATAAAAAAAAAGAAAGAAATTAATTTATTATATTCTTTTTTCTATTTATAAAAATTTTTTTTGTAAATATTTAAGTATTGCTTATGCTAAATATCTTCTAAATTTTTTGAGTTTCTTAAAGAGAAAAAGAAAGTATTTTTTAAATAATTTTGATTATTTTTTTCCTTTCCGCTTTTGAGAAAACCAAAAACTTCTTTTCCAAATATTTTTAACCAAAAAAGGAAATAATCCAAACATTCTTTAGTTTACAAAATTAGATTTTTAAAAGCTAAATTTTTTTAGTTAAAATTAAAATTTCATTGAAAAAAATAATTATGGGAAATTAAATTTAATTATTTGTGTTCCGCTTTTTTTGCAAAATTTCCCAAAAATCTTAAACAACAAAACCCCACGCTTTTCCCTGTTTTTTATTCACATTCAGTTAATATTTGCAGATAAATAAAATGTTTAATTTGAGGTAATAAATATTTAGGTATTTTAAAGAAACACAGTTAAATATTCTTATCTAGTTTTTTGTTAAATTAATTAATTAAAATAATTAAATATAAACAGTAATGATTTTATTTATTTTATTTAATTCATTAAATTACATTTAAGCCGAAAAGAAAAAAATTTAATTTAAAAATATTTTTTGAACATCTACATAAATTAATTTTAGTTTTTTTTTTGTTTGGACATTTTCTCTGTTAATAACCTGCCACACACACACACACACACACTTTCAAACATCTTTTTTTTATAATAAACTTTTTTTTTCTTTTTAAATTAAACAAAAAATTCTTTTTTTTCAATGCAATTAATTTTATTTCCGCCACAATGCCCCTTTCCTCTACGTTTATTTGTGAAAAAAAAATTAGAGAAAAGGAAAATAACAGTCCTTTGGCCCCATTTTCTTTTTTTTTACTAAATTTAGAAAAAATTAGGTTGGAAAAGAATGGCACTCAACAAAATTTCATTCATTAGGATAAACAAGAACAAAAAGGGATAAAAAACTAGAACTGCTTTGTCATTAATTTTTTTAGAATTTTTTGTTTAAAGTTTATATAAGATAGAAAAGAGAATTCATCTTTCTAAAAAAATTAGTAATTAGTGCCGGCGCTCAAACTAGAATAAACGTAGCCTAAAGATGCAGTATTTTTGACCAACAGTTTTTCAAGTATCAGCGCCGCCAATGATAAATTTTCAGAAAGATGGGATTTATGTTCAAATACAAAGCTCCACCAGAGCTTTAGCTCCGGATCTAGCATACCAAGTACTCAGGGCAACAACTTTATAAAAACAACGTATGCTTTTTCTTCAAAAATTTTTCCTTAAACAAAATATAAAATTAATTTATTATTCCTTATTTATTAATTATTCTTTTAAAATTCTAAATTTCTTGGCATTAATTAGTTATAATTGATTTTCTATCATGTGTTTTGTGTTCTAAATGACGGCTGTTCTCAACAATTAATCTATTTTCTCAATCTATTTTAAGTAAAATTATACAACTTCCAGAGTTCGTAGATGGGGGACAGAACATTTATTTTAACAAAATAAGAATTAAATAACTAATATATTTATTTATTTTTGTAATTAATTTTTCGCAAAATTAAAAATCTCTTTTTTTTTATTTTAATAAAAAAATCTATTTATTTATTTGCCATTTAAAAAAACTTTTTTAACACCTTCTGTTAGCAGCTGGTTCTTTACAAGTCACAAAAAGTAGCAATTAACTTGCCTGGTTGTGACAGCTCTTTTTAGAGTTTAAACTTATCTTTTAAAATATTTTTTTTTCTTCTTTTCTATTCCTGCTGTGACCACTTTTATATAATAAATAAAGCTTTATTTGTGGATTTTTATATATATTTATTTATTTTCTCGTTAAAATACCATAAAATAGTGAAACTCCATTACAATTCCTTGAACAGATGACGTTATTTTTGAGTTAAAAATAGTTTTTATTTTGGTAAATTTATTTTGTTCAAAGTATTTTAATAAAATTTATTTAATATTTATTGTTCAAGAAATTAAAAAAAAATCAGAAAACGTTAAAAATTTAACCAAAATAATCTAAAAATATGTCCGTAAACTTCCATTTTTGTATTTTTCATTATCTTTATTTTCACACAAAAGATTGTGTAATATGTACATATTGTCTCAATAAATTAATTAAAATAATTAATTTCCTTTTAACTTTAATTTTATTCTAAAAATAAAATATATGATAGTTTTTGATTGCAACATATTATACACTGCGACGCAAAATTATACGTCCACCTCATTTTTCGAAATTTTTTCGTTTGTATTGGTCCGAATTTTCTGAAAATTTAAATACAAACCTTTTAGTGAATAAATAACGAGATGAGTATGGATTTTAGGCAAAATTTTTATTTTAAAAATTTTTAGACCAAAATTTGTGTTTTCGGCCTACGCAAAATTATACGTCCACTTTCCAAAAAAGTTATTTCCAATAATAGGAAAAATCCACAAAAATTCCAGTAAGCTCATATATTGATATAATAAAATAATAAAAAGAAAGTAGGTCAATATCTTTACCCGAAGCCGAGATACTGATACCTCGGAAATCAACGTAAAATGGGGTTTTTCAGCTTTAAAAAATATTTTCGACCCCTTATGGATTACTGTAAATTTTGATTTTGGGCTCATTCGAAAGCCCTTAAAATTTGCTACAAGATGTTAATCAAATTATTTTTCAGAAAAGATTTTAAAGGGAGATACAGGCATTTAAACTTCTGATCCAGAAAAAACGCCTAAATGCCCCATAAAATTCCCCTTAATGTCGCTTCCGAAGTTTAAATGCCTGTATCTCCCTTTAAAATCTTTTCTGAAAAATAATTTTATTAACGCCTTGTAGCAAATTTTAAGGGCTTTCGAATGAGTTCAAAATCAAAATTTATAGTAATCGATAAGGGGTCGAAAATATTTTTTAAAGCTGAAAAACCCCATTTTACGTTGATTTCCGAGGTATCAGTATCTCGGCTTCGGGTAAAGATATTGACCTACTTTCTTTTTCATTTTTTATGATATCGATATATGAGTTTACTGGAATTTTTGTAGATTTTTCACACTGTTGGAAATAACATTTTTGCAAAGTGGACGTATAATTTTGCGAAGGCCAAAAACACAAATTTTGGTATAAAAATTTTTAAAATAAAAATTTTGCCAAAAATCCTTGGACATCTTGTTAGTTATTCAGTAAATGATGTGTATTTAAATTTTCAGAAAATTCTGATCAATACAAATGAAAAAATTCCGAAAAAATGGGTGGACGTATAATTTTGCGTCGCAGTGTATTATTATTTTTATTAATCCTTCCGAATCCCTCCTTTTTATATACTAATTATTAGTCTTTAACTAAATTAATTATTTTATTTATTAAAACAAAAAATTTCCCGATGCGACCAAAAATTTGTTTTTGAGCTTTGGTTTCAAATCTACCTTGGGTCAAATCTGACATAATTTTACAAATTTTTAATTGACTTTTGATTAATCTTTATTATTATTTTTAAAAATAATATCCCTAAATTTATTTAACATTCCCACGCAATTCTCTTTTTCTATTAAAAATTATTTATTTATTTTCACTAAAAATGTTCTTGTTTGGGATAACAAATGTCAAAAAGGCAAATAAACTACTATATGTATTATTTAGTCTGTCAAGACATGCTCGGATGCTTCTTCCTTTTTTATAGAATGAAAAAAAGAAGGAAATTTAGGTAAAAATGAAATTGGAGTAGAAAAAAGAGGGGATGCGCTTTCAATTATTTACATTAGAATAGTACACATTTATTTATTTTTTAACATTTTTTAAATTTAAATTTAAATATTTATTTTTTTAGAATCAATTCTCCTAAAATCATTCTCTATTAGATAATACTTGTTATCGTTAATTAAATATATTTATTTATTTTTAAATTAAAAAAATAAATTTTCAAAGAATTTTTAAAATTAGAGAATTTTTTTCTCTAAAAATGAATTTAGAAAGTAATTCTGGACAACAATTACAACAAGATGTTTCTGCTAATTCACCAAAAAATATTCATCAATATAATGATCAACATTCTAATTGGACAGAAATGGATTGTGGTTGGTTAGATGAAATTAGGGAAATACAGGTAAATAATTTAGGGAAATAAATTAGGGAAATAATTAAGGAAATACAGGTATTTATGTAAATATTAATTAGAGAATATTTAAATATTTTTTAATTAAAAGAATTTATTAAAAAGTAGTGATTCTATGTATTTCAGGTATTCCTATTTATTTTCTGTTCCTAATTATATAATTAAATTGGCACTAAAAATAACAAAGTTTTAACTTCCAAAATAATTTATATTTTCTGTGCCCTTCTAAAATTTTATTCTAAAAAAATTTGTAGATTAAAATATTTTAAAAATCATTGTCGAGTAATCATAATTAAATTAATTTTTTAAAAGAATCATTTTTATTGGCGGCATACAAATCCAGCCCTTTTATTATGTTTATACGCTGCTGTTTGTTTTTTTGGAGCTATAGCTAATTTTTTTGTTTTGTTATCTTTTGCTAGAGTTGCACAAGTTGGAATTGAAATTTATTTTTAAAAAGAAATTTTTAAAATTAAGTTACGAAATCTTCGAAATTATTTTATTGCTAATTTGGCATTTTCTGATCTTCTAATGTGTACAATTACAGCCCCAGTTACTTTATATTTATCTTTAAACTTTTTTTGGCCTTTTGGAAAGGTAAAAATACCTGAATATTTTTATTTAAAAATTTCTATTAAAAATATTTTTTAAGTTTGCCTGTCAGTTGGTTGCTTCCATTCAAGCAGTTAATATGTTTGTCTCTTGCCTTACTTTGGCAAGTTTTTTTAAATTTTAATTAGCTTAAGGAGTTTTTGTGATAGATGTACTAAATGTGAATGTAGGTAGGGCCCTGTCACCAGAAAAGTTGAAAGATTTAAACAAAAGAAAGGCGGAAGGTCTGAATGTAAATTTTTAGAGAGGGTTACACATTAATTAATTGTGTAATTATAAAATACAAATATTTAAGGTATTAATTGCTTTGGATAGATTTCTTTTAACTTTGTGTCCAGTAAAATGGCGATTAGCAGCAAAAGCTCCATTAATTTGTTATTTATTTGTTTGGATATGCTCTTTTATTGTTGCTGCCCCATATGGAGCAGCTGTTTCTGCAGAATATGCAAGAATGTTAGATCCTTGGAATTCGGCTAATGTTGAACTTTTGGTTTGTGAAAGGATTGGGGGGAAAATTGTTTAAAAATTAATTTTATTTTTAAAGCTACCAATTTGTGATAGAGAACAACCACAAATTTGTATGGAGGATGTTAAAAGATGGGACAGATTACCGTTTTCTAGAAGGACATACACACTTACAGTTTTGGCTATACAGTAATATTTTTAATTAAAAAGATTAAAATGGTTTTTTAATTAAAATTAAGAAGAATTTAGTGAAAATTTTAAAATTTTGATAATATACATTTATTTTTTAATAAAATATAAAAATTCTGAAAATCAATTTTTAAAATATTTTTTACTTAAAAATTTATTTGAGGTATTTACTTCCATTGTCAGCCCTTGCAATAGCTTATTCACAAATTGGTTCAACAATAAGGCGTAGAGGTAAAGCTAGTACAACTGTACATGGAGAACGTAAACAACAAATACAACGAAGAAATAGGTAAAGAGAAAATAGAATAATTTTTTAAATATGTAATCTTTTCTTTTTTTTTCAATCAGAAAAGCAATGTTTTTATTGCTTGGTTTAGTTCTTGTTTATGCAATTGCTTGGGCACCAATGAATATTTATAATGTTTTACATGTTTTAGAATTTATTGCTTTTTCACAATATAATTATCTTTTTTGTCATTTAATTGGAATGGTTTCTGCTTCTATAAATCCTTTACTTTATGCTCTAATTAATGTATAATTAATTAATTAAAAATTATTTTTTAAATTATATTTTCTAAAAAGGGAAACACAATTTTTTAAATAATTATTACCCCTAATAATTTAAAAGGAGAAGAAAAAGAAAATTAAAATTAATTTTTTGAAATTTTAATTAAATTTAAAATTTTTCTATTTAATTATTTCTAGACCTTAAAATTTTTATTAAATATTTAAAAATATTTTTTACTTTTAAAGGAATCATTTCGAGCAGCATTTCTACAATTAATCCAGCCTTTATTAAAAATTTGTTTTTTAAATTTTAATTCTCAAACAATTAGAAATAGAGAAATAATTACTAATAATATACCCCAACACGAAACAATTTCTTCTGCTTTAATACCTCAATTTGGAAAAAAAGTTTAAAAAATTTTTTTTGTTAATTTTTAAAAATAATTTTTACAAGATGGAAACACCGCCAACTAAAAGAACATTAATAACACAACAAAATGAAGAAAATAATGGTGGATTGAATGTTGATAAAATTAATGGAAGGGTTTCTGATAATTATTTTAAAATGAATGAATTGGGGGAAAGGAAATTAGAAGAAGAAGAAAATAAAGAAGAAAATGAAGAAATTAAAATATAAAGAGAGTATATTTTGTTTTTTTGAAATCTCTTAAATTAAATATCAAATTTTTTTTGTTTATTTTTTATTGCTCAATTATTGTTTATTATTAAATAAATTATTTTTGATTTTATAAATAAATATAAAAAAATTCTGATTAATTACTGCATCGAGTATTTTCTTTAAAAAAAATTCTGAAATTGTAAAAAAAATAAATTTAATTAATTTTTGGAAAATTAATTTGTTAATTTTGCAACAAAAATATAAATTATTTTAAGAATTCTCTTTTTTATTTTTTTGTAAAAAAATTTATTTTATTAATTCTTAGTACTAATTTAATTTTACTCTTTTAACTTTTAATTTTTGCTTACGTCTCAAACATTTATTTTCTGTGAATATTTAGACATCTTCTAATTACTATTTAACACCCACTCAATATGAATATTTTCCCACAACTTTTAATTATAAACACTTTTTGTTTAAATTTTCTCGAGAATAATGGAATTACTAGGTACAATTACGAAGAAAAAATTCATTTGTTGTTGTTGCCAAGTGCAACCAAATTTCACAAAATTTTTGGAGTGATTACTCGACTTTACACTTTACTATAGACTGACTACTCTCGTCTCTCGTAAACTCGATAAAATGTTTTCCAACTAATTGAGAATGAGTCAAGCTTCAACATTAAACGTTTTGAAGTCTACATAGAAGAATCTCTCCCCCTCTTTCTTCACTCAAATTAATTTCCTTATTTTAAATACCTACTATATATAAATACACCAATTTAAATCCCCAAATTAATTATTTTTTAAACATAATTGTTCTCTTAAAAACAATTATGTTTATTTAATTATTTGCTATCTCAATATAGGCCAGATTTATGCAAATTTGTTTGTATTATCATAGAAATAACTGAATCAAGAATTAGTTGAATTTGATCTGTGTCCTTAAAAAATTATTTTTTAATAAATAAAAAATAATTAATTATTAACTGTAGCACATGTTTGGTGTACATAAATTGTTTTTCTTGGATTTGCGTTTAATGCTTCAAATTTTCTTCGAATAAAGTTGATTGAGTCGTCGTAGGTTTGTGGACCTATTAAATAGTTAATTATTTTGATTATTTGTGTAATCTTTTAAAAGATTAAATTTTGTTTATTCAGACACCAGTCTTTAATCGGGGAGAGTAACAACAATTTTCATTTCTGTTACTTATTAAGGAGGGAGTATTTACATTTTTGGACACCTTAGGATATCCAAAATATTGCTTATTAAAAAAATTAAAAAATTTCAGAACCATCATAATCCTTGAAGCAAACTCGAATAGAAACAAAAGTAATCTTTTCAGCAAAAATATCCCTTTTGTTGAGGAATAAAATAATTGAAGTTTGTAGAAACCAACGAGAATTACAAATACTTTCAAATAATCTCATACTTTCAATCATTCGATTCTTTTAATTTTTTTAAATATTTTTTTTTCTTCAAAACTAAATACTTACAGTTGTCTCATCTTCAAATAAAACCTTTAAAAATTAATTTAAAAATTTTTTTTTTCAAAATTTATTAAAATAAATACTTCATCATATTCAGAAACTGCTGCCATAAAAATAACAGCATTAACATCCTCAAAACAATGTATCCACTTTTTTCGTTCAGAACGCTGACCTCCAACGTCAAAAACCCTTTTTTTAATTAAAAATGTATTTTCATTATTTATTTAAGACAAAAAAGAAAAATAATTTTAAATTGATGCACGCAAATGAACTTTGCGTAGAAAACACGATTTTTGAGGAAGTTTTTTTAATACAAAAAAATTCTCTGTTTACTTTAAATTATTCTAAAATTTTTTGTATTTTAAAATTATTTGTTTAAAAGATAGACTAAAATTTTTAAAAAATAATAGAGAGAAATGTAAAAAAAATATTTTAAATATTTATTTACCTAAATTTAACACCTTTAATTAAAAACGATATTTCCACAATTCCAGTAGTTTTCTAAAAAATATAATTTTTTATTAAACAAAAAACTTTTAATTAACTAACAATTCTGGTTAAAAGTATATCTTGTCTAGAAGGTCTGTAACTTGGATTGCTAACTCTGTCCAAACTATCCAAAAAACTTTAAAAAATAATTAATTATTTAAAATTATTTATTTAAATTTAAACTGTTTAGCAGAATCGTGTAAATGAAATTCTAAACGTTTAGAGTATGTTTGGGTATTTAATGCCGGATCTGCCCAGAGTCTTTTCATTGCAGCTGCTAATTCATCACTAAAAGGTTCACTTTCTTCTTCATTTCGAATTGTTTCCATTACTAAACGAGCATCTTCCTTTAAATTAAATAATTGTGATTTAAATAAAACTTAAGTATTTAAAAGAAGAAACAAGAAAGGAATAAATTGATTTAATTTAAATTAGGTACTCTATTTATTTCTCAACTAAATTACTTAAAAATTATTTTATAAAATTCCATTCTTTTAAATATTAATCAATTATTTTACCATTCTTTTTGGTTCTGTAAATCCAATTTTATATAAATTCATTCCTCGAAGAAGTTCTGCCATTGCATGAACTTAAATATATATTTGAAAAATATTTATTTAATTTTAAATATATTTAATTTACCAGTATTTGAATATACAACAGATCTTTGTTGTAAAAGTTCCTTAAAATTGAAAAAAAAGGAATTGAAAAAAAGGAATATATTTAAAGATAATTAAAGATAATATTTTTTAATTTTTATTAAATTTACTTCTTCAGTAAATCCATCGCTGTGAAGAATTCTAAAAAAATAAAAATAATTTTCCAAAAACTTTATTAATTTAACCTCATTTGTTTCATTAATGTACTTTTACCGCATTCTCCGGCACCTGTTTATTTAATTTTTTATTAAAAATTAATACAGAAATTTGTTTAAAATTGGAGAAATCTTTAGTGTTTCTATCAAAATCCTCCTCAAAGACAAATGGGGTTTTTTGTTTTGCTTCTATAATAATTAAAGTTTAGGCACGACAGAGAGGTTTGGAAATAATGAGATTTAACATAAAAGGGAAGAAATACTTATAATTAAATCCCCCCCCCCTTTTTTTTATTTAAATTAAAATAATTTATAAATAGATATATTTATTTATTTTAAAACAATTACCAAGTAAAAGTAATTTAATTTGTTTATCCTCCCCTTCAGCAATTTCACGTATACTTTTGTCGATCATTTTACTATTTTTTGTTTGTTTTTTCTCTTCTTCACTTTGGCAAAGTCCCATTATTTAAATATATTAATTATCTGATAATTTTGTAAAATAATAAAGAGCTCGCTTTTTTCTTAAATAAAAATTAAAATTAATAAAAAAAAGAGGGGAACGGTTAAAGTATCAAAAATAAAGATAAACGGCGGTTTAAATAAAATGTAATAAAATAAAGTGTAATTAACATAAATCTTAATTTTTAAATAACGGATATTATGAATAAAAACTAAATATTTACTTAAAATATTTATTTTTAAAGCTTGTTCTCTAAATTTAAAAAAAAGGAATGAGTGTCAAAGAAACGCGCATGTTTAAGCTCCTTTTTAATTTTATAAACAATGCCACATTTTCATTATTATTATTCACTTTTCTTTTATCGGAAGGGGAAAAGAAAATTAATTTTTGTTGTCAAGGTAATAATTTATTTTTTCTCATTAGAAACTTTTTTTTTCTTAAAAACTTTTTAAATAAAAAAAAAGCCTATAATATTCTCCTTTAACATTTCTTTGAAGTCTAATAATTAAAAATCGAAAAGAAATTTTTTTAAAGGAGAAAGTTAATAAAAATTAGCAACAAAATAGAAAGAATATAAATACAAATTATAATGAGGAAGAATTTTAAATAAAAATTTTTGGAAATAAAATTAAGTACAAATTAATTTTATTTAAGGTACTATTACGTGGGCAATTGCAAAGAAAACCTTTTACATTATAATTAGGTTTCAAAAATTAATTTTTTTTAAATTACTATTGAATGTTTAAATAAATCTTTGGAAAATAATTTAAAAACTTCTCCTTATACTCTAAAAAAAGAAAAAAAGAAAAATAACTGGAATTACCTAATAGTTTTTACAAACAAAATTACAAAACTTTTTTTAAATTTTAATTGTTAAAAATTAATTTGGAATATGTAAATAATTTGTTTAATTTACATATATTAAGCTTTAATTCGGTTAACAAAAATAGAAATGGAGTTTGTAGATTTTCTGTCATATTTTTAAATTAATTAGATAAATATATATTAATATAATAATTACAAGTATTATAAATATAGTAATTAAATAAATTTATTTATATTCTAAATTAGAGTTGCACCCCGCCCGATTTTACCCGAACCCAGCCCCGAAACAATTCGAAAACCACGTACCGCAAAATACCCGCCTCCGAGCGTTCGGGGTGCAACCCTATTTTAATGCTTCCTTTTTTGAATTTTCTTTCGTATCAAGAATAGACAATCTTCATTCCCAAGTATGTATTATACGTGAATTTTTGTATACTTTTTCAACTATTTCAAGTCAAGCCGAGACAATATTTATAAATTTTTAGATGATTATAAAAATAATTTATTCGAATAAAAAATAAATTTATTGAAAAATTGAAATAATTTTTTTTATAAAACATAAATTTTAATTAAATTATTTTATATTTGAATAAATTATTTTTATAAAAATTTATTATATTTAGGTATATGTAGTATATAAAAATGTATCCAAAAAATATTTAAATCCGTCCACAATTAGCAGAATTATTAAATAAATTTTCTTTTTGTTGGTTCTCATTATTTTGTTTTAAATTAAAAGCCATAGCTAAAATCTTTAATTGTTCTACACGTTTCATTGTAGCACCAAAAGCTTTACATCCATACAAAAGTAAACTAAAAGCTGTAGCCAACTGAAAATAAAAACAAAATTTACTATTTTTGTACAAAAATTATTTTTTTAAACTAGCCTGCATTAAAGCCAAAACAGCTAATCCAATGTCTACTTCAACGGGCTCTTTTGTACTTGTTAGGCTAATATGTGATTTATTGTTTGTTGAAAGTAAGGGAACAAGAGGAAGAATGCCTTTTTAAAGAAAATAATTTCTTTAAATTATATATGTAAAATACCCGAAAGGAACGGCACAAAAATAAATACAACATTAAGTGCACATAACAAAAAAGTAGCAACAAACATTGAAAAACTTTTATTGTGGCTAGCAAAAAAGCCAACTAAACCATTACAAATAGCAGAAATTCCATAAAAAAGCTCTTGACCTTTAGCAAAATCTGCTCGCCAATAAAGACGAACACCTCCTAAACAAAATATTGCTGAACCAAAAACTATCTGAATAAATTTTAATTATATAAGAAATGCTAATTTAAATTAAATAAATATTTAACTAAAATTATTTCTTGACATCGAAATCAGCATTTCATACCTGACTTTTTGTCTTTAAACTGTTTTTTATCTAAATAATAATTGTAATTTCTAACTTTTGTGTTTGTAAATAACGTGTGGATACAAAAAAGTGTGAATATAAAGATAATAAAACTTACAGTTAACCAACTAGTTAAAGATATTGTACTCCATGGAATAGTTTCTGTCTCATGATCGGAAGACCAATTAATATCAAAATTATTTTCTATATTCGTTGGATTAACAAATCCACCGTTAGCATAGGGAAAGTGTGAAGGAGAAAAATTAATAGATGGATTTTTGGAATTAATTGAGCGTGAGACACTTCTAATAGGTGCCCGAAACTGAAAAAATAATTTTTTTAAAAATTATTTTTACAAAACACCTGTGAATGTATCTCTTCATGTCCCCCATATATTTGTTGATTTTTGTTGTTATAAACAATCTCGTCTATTATTTCAGGTTCAGGACGAGGCAAGGTTGTGTAAGATTGACAGCGAGATGGCATCATTTTATCTAAAAAATTGAATTTTGTTTGTAATTTTTTATTTGTTATATTTAAAACATATTGGTTTATGCAAAAAATTTCTTCAATTTTTCTCCAAAACTTACACATTCCCAAATCACTTCCAGGTCTAGAACCAATATGATTATTCTGAAAAGATGCTTCCGCTACTCCAACATCTTGTTGATGCATTTGAAGACCTCTGAGAGGTGTATTGCCATTATTACATTTTTGACGAACCATATTTGGTGGAGCATAAACTGTATAATAATAATTTCTATATCCAAAATTTAAGTATTTACTTGAATGCAAGAAGTTATCTGGAGGTGATCGGATTTGTTTTTGAGGACTAGGTCTAATCGTAGTTCCATACAAGGATGCTTTTGTATTTAATCCAGGCGTAGGATCTTTTACGGGCACAAAACCATATATTTGTTGTGGTTGTTTATTAACAGAATGTTCATGCTAAAATTATTTATTTTAATTATTAAATGTCACCAAAGTATCAGAAAATACCTCAACTCGTGATCGCCAAATAGGATTAATATTTTGATTTCGTATTGGTTGGAATTCACGACTAAATGCCGAACCAGGCCTTTTTTGCTGTTTTTCGCCTTCTTCTACTAATTCTACTTTCTTCTCTTTATCCGTTTTTTGGCCCATATTTTATTTTTTAAATAAATTTTAATGAAAAGATATGATTTTAAAAATCCAATTAAATTAATCAAATTGGCGAGAAAACTAAATTCCGTTGATACATATGATAGTAATATATAAAATTGTCATTTAGAGGACATTTGTAAAAGAAAAATTAAAGACACTGTGTCTAATATTTAGTTAAGAGGAATGAGAGCGAGAATATCTGTTGGGTGAATCCCGAAGACAAACCCCAACCCATTCTTTGACTAAAAGAGGAAGTACATATTAGCGATAATTTCATCTAAACCCCTCATACTTCCGCAAAAGAATAGCAAGCAAGATGACCCAGATATTAAGGGAGAAAGTGTTACAGATGAAAAACGCGCGAAGTCAACAAAGTGCGGTAGTGATATTTGTTTAGGAGATGGATAAAGAATTTATGTATTTTAAAATCAAAAATGACATTTTGGAATTTATTGGCATCATTTTTAGAATTATTCTTAAAGGTCAAATAAACTAAAAAAATTACTCTAAAACTGTTTAAAATTTGTTTTATTTTCAACAAAATATTTCTCACAATCAAATAGAAATCTGAATATAAAATAATTTGAATATTAAAAATATTTTGTATAACGTAAATTTTCTCACTCATCTGCAATCTAGTTTCTCGAAATGCCTTCGCGCATTCCGAATGTTCCTACAAATAAAAAAATCCATTATTAAAATATTTGCAAAAGATTTTCAGTGAAGATTAACCAACAAAAGGGGAATTAAATAATTTCCTTTGGTATTTATATTAAAATAATTCCAAAATTCAATTAATAGACTGTCCTTTAAATCAATACCAAATAGGAATTTAATAAATAAAAACAATTTACATCATTACAGCCGCAGATGAAACATTTCCATCCGAAAGTACCAACATAATGTAACTAAAAATAAGTCAAGTTTTCGATTTTTATGATAAATTTAGTGATACGTATTATTGGTGAAAGAGTCGATAAATGCAGCAAATGTGCTATTACGTATCTAAAACAAGAAATATTTAAAAAAATTAATATTAATTATTAAAATAGTAAAGATACTTGGATTGTCTCAAATTGTGAACCCATACGGCTAAAATTAAAACAATTAAATTTTAAAGTAAAAAAATCAAATACCTGCAAGACAATTTAAATTGTTTAATAATGTTGGAAACTTTTTCAAATCTATGAATATCATCATGTAGAACTCTCTGCGCCTGGGCAATTACCAAAAATGTGGCCTTTTCAAACAATAATACCTTTAAATAAGAATTTATTAGAATTTAGCTTAAACCAAAAAAATAAAATTTTTTCAAAACCCAAAATGGTAGATAATTAGGCAGGTCCGATCCAAATAAAATAAGCGAAAAATTCTGGCAGAGCAGAAATAATTTTTAAAAGTTTTTAACCATAAATTTAATCAACTTCAAAACTTACTTCATCAGCATCAACAATTTCTGTGAATTTTTTCAATTTTTGTTCCATTGAAGTGATCTACAAAATAAAAAAATGAAAATTTTAAATTTATTTACATTTGGTATAAGTTGATAAACAATTGCAGACCAAGCTTTATATAAAGTTTCATCCCAAATAGAAGAACGGAAACATTGAATTGTGACTGTCGATGTTTGTTGTCTACAAGTAATATTGTCTGACAATTGTTTAATATCCTTTTCCTTGTCTTGGAAAACCTGAGAACAAAATAATTTAAAAATCAACAAAATAAAAACTTTTTCTCTCATTTCTTCCTGAATTAGATCCATTTTATGAACAAGGCAAAAAACTTTGGCAGCAGGCGAATTTTGTAATAAAGCCTCCAAACAGGACTGATAGTTTCCATAGTCTTTATCAACTTCTCTACTTTCAACATCAAAAACATAAATAAGTACCTAATTTTTGATTTGGATTATAAAAATCGGCAATTCTAATAAAAAAAGAACCTGAACGTTTTTAAAGATTTGGTCACGCTGTGCCGTCATATAATTTTCCATAAAAATCTCCTGACCTCCGCAGTCCCACAAATGTAAAACCATATTCCCAAGAAACCTAAATATTTTAAAATAATCTAAAAAATTTCATAAACGCGATTACTTGACATGCGCATGCTCAACCTCCATCGTAGCTAAAAAGAAAATTAATAAAATAAAAACAGACTCCTTACGTCCAAGTCGGCTTGTATCCCTTGCAATATAATTAGCAAATATGATCGATCTCATACTCGTTTTACCAGCTCCAGCCTTTCCCATAAGCAAAACTTTCCTCTTAGACATCCTCGTAAAAAGAGCAGAATTAAAAATATTTCAAATATAAAATTTAAAAAATATTTCACACTGTTCAAACAAGAATATAAAAATAATCAACTAAATTAAATATTAAATTAATGAATTATAGCAAAATCAAAGTGAAATAAACGAAAACAACATTTTTGAACAATATTAAGTCATTCAGATTCATGTCATGTATTTTTATTTATAATAACCATCAAATAATTTTACGGAGTAGATTGATCTGTCTGATCTAAAATCAACAATTTATTACCCAAAAATTAATTTCCTTACCTATGTTTTCAATTTCTTTGTTCGTTGGAGACGGCTGACTCGGCCTGTCAACTCCTAAAGCCTCTCCCCTCCTTTCTTCTTCATCCACAATTAAATGAGTAATCTTAATTTAAGTTTTATTTGTCATATTTAAAGATTGTATGCTCAACCTGTGGATCGATATTTATATTTGGAAGAGTTAAAACATTATCATTGGGCAACTCGTCAACTTCAATAAAATTGCTTGTTCTGCCACTGACTGATATGGAATTAATTTTCTCTGAACGATTCTGGTCAATAAATGACTGGACAGAACTTGTACAAAAATCATGCCATTTTTCGTAAACAGGTGATTCTATAAAAAGATTAACAAATAAAAAGTTAAATATTCACCTTTAATCATTTCGTCTATATAGTCCGCTACTGGAGAATTGTGTTGAGATAACAACAAACGATTGGCAAGAAAAAGGAATAAACTACGCTTAGAAATGGAGAAGAGTTTATTTGAATAAATATTATTGTCGCTCGATAAACTAAAATCATCTCCCCACAATGAGTCAGGTAGAGCATTCAAGATAAAGGCAGGTAAATTGAAGTCCTAAATTTTTTGACAATTTTTTTCTTTAACTACTTCCTTTAACAAAATAATTCAAGTACCTTTATGAGAAAGTCAATAAGAGGTTGTTGTGTTGTTCCAGTATTTGAATAAAGAATATGTAGAATGAAAGTTACAAATTGTGTATTAAAAATTGAGCGGCAAGGATTTACTTCAATTTGTTCACAGAAACTATTGAACGAGGTTTCAGGAATTAAGAAAGCCCTGAGCAGTTCGAAATGAGTCGGAAGAAAATTTGTATTTGTTAAATTAATTAACAATTGCATACAATTGTGAACAAAATCGTCGCAAAAATCATCAATCATTACATCCTAAATATTCTTGTTTTAAAGGAATAAAATAAATTTACCTCCGATTCCTTAGAATCAGCTGGAACAATTATTCTATTTGAGTCATTGTGCCGAATATAGATTTTTGGATTTCTAACAGGATCAAGACCATATAATATTAGACTTATTATACTAGATGCATATTCAGCACAGCGAGTTTCCACAATTCGTTTTGGATCCATCAAGATTTGCCCAGTTGAGGATGTCGAATTATCCGTACTATTAAATGAACAATTCTGATATCCATCAAGTAAAGAATTGTTATTGACGCTTGAAGCACCCTACAAAAAGAAAAAAGGTCAATTCAAAAGAAAAGCGACAAAAACACCTGAAGTTCTTGCGCCAGAATAGAACTAGGAGAATTCCTTATTTGATTCGTTTCTAAAAGAACATTTAAAACCAAAGCTCCATTCGAAATAATCTAAGGATTTTTTTAAATAGAATAAATAATTAAATTAATATCAAACCGATGCTGAGAATTTACCTCCATCAACTGGAAACATCATTGAAAGTAATTTAGTCACAATCTCCTCAGATTGTATAGCTTCAAGGAGAGGGTCTAAAAATTGCTAAATGAATAGAATATTAAAAATATAAACCAAAAGTCTGTTCAACATTATACTGGACTTCGCGTAATGCTCTAATAAATTCTACCCATAAAGCAGCTCCATTTTCATGAACATATGATGGTTGTTCAGCAGAAAGAAGCCATAAAAGCTTTTGAGGAAAACCTTTATCGACATACCACTAAACAGGAAAAAATTAAAAAATCAATTAAAAATATGTAAAAGCTAACCCTTTTAATTCTATCGCGGATAGACGGATCGGGTGTACAATTCATAAAAGTACAAAGAAGTTCAAAAAGAGAGCAAAACTTCAGACCATTCATACAACTCTCAATAAAATTACTTTTCTCAAGTATATCTAAAAACTTCTCTGGCTCAGTAGAAAGAAAACAAACGACCACACGGCTATAAAAGCTGAACAAAGAAGATAAGGAACACTATTTTAACTTGTGAAAAATATTAAAAACCTGGCAACTAATGGATTAAGGCGTGCATGATTATTGTCCAAAAAGCCTGCAAGCTCTTCGAGTAGCTGAGGGTATTTTTCAAATTCAGGATAAAATTCCCTAGCTCCGACACACAAAGCCTCACAGCATTGAGAGATAACTCTAATAAAGTGAATGATGAACATCAGCAAATGTAACATACCTATATTCGCTTTTTACAAGCTGCTCATCGGCCTCCTCATCAACTGGAGTGATTATCGCCATAATAAGTTTTCGAAGATTATCTTCTTGTTTGAGACTAGAATAAAAAATACAGCTTCAATTTAAAAGCGAATTCAATAACATAAATTTTCTGCAAATTTAAATTACTTACAAGTCCATTAGCTGTCCGTTTGAATTTCTTATTTCTTGAAGGCAATGAACATCATTGAGAATAGATTCCAATTTTGGATTTTCAGAGTTTAACTTGACATCGATCTCTCGCTCCTCTATCGCCATTGTACTCCAGAACATTTTGGTAATTTAAATATTTGTACTTAGAAAGTAATTAAACAATTTAAAAAAGATGAGAAATAATAGAAGAAAAAAACAAATGCAGAAATTTAAATAAAAAAAAAATAAAAATTTATTAAATAATGCACAAAAATATTGAAAAACTTAAAATCAAATAAGATCGAATTTAAGAGTGAAACCGCCAATAGATTTGCGTGGTGCCGAAGGTTCATTTGGTGGTCTTTTATTGTGTTCACTCTTTGCAGGCCACTGTAAAATAAAGAAATTATACTCATTTTCGATAATTTGTCAACAATATCAAAAACAAACATTAAAAACATACCGTTGGGAAGGAAGAGGGTGGCAAAGGCTTTGGATTGTTTTGAAACCATTTGCTTTTCAGTGCTTGCTTAGCCGATAACCTTTTAGATGGATCCAAAGTTAATAATCTTAAAATAAAAGGAAACTAACATTAAATAAATAACAAGCCTTACTTAATTAACAATTGATAACCATCATCATCAGGCAATGCTGAACTGAATTTGCGATGTAATTGATTAAAAGGGGTATCAACAAAAACTCCATTCCTCATTCCTGGCAATTCCATACATCCTGGCCATGTTTGTTCATTTGGAGTTCCTATGTCCTAAAATAATCGAAATTTATAAAAATCGGAAAAATCAATACTCTGAAAATTCTTTGAATTTGGTCAATTTCTGTCCTTCCAGGAAATAAAGGCTCCAACTTCAAGAACTCACCAAAAATACACCCAACAGACCACATATCAACGGGAGTAGAATAAAACTAAAATAATTTTTTAGAATAATAAATAAAAATTTTACTTCAGTTCCAAGAAGTAATTCAGGAGATCTGACATATAAAATTAATTATTAAAAATTTTTATTAAAAAGTTACCTATACCAAAGAGTAACAACAATTGGAGTGTAAGACTTTAATGGTTCCCCAAATTCACGCGCTAAACCAAAATCGCCAATCTGATTAAAAAAGTTAGATTAGAAAAACTTTCACCTTTAATAAAATAACCTTTAAAATACCGAGATGTGAAAGTAGAAGATTGGAAGTTTTCAGATCCCGATGAATTACATATTCTTAAAAAATAAGTAAAATCAAAAAAGAAAACAAACTTTCATGCATATGTTCTATTCCAGAGAGAAGTTGATGCATTAGGGTCTTAACCTGAGCTAAAAAATTAACAATAAGTGATTTGAATATTGAATTTAATTTTCAAAAGGGTTAGAGATATTTGCAAATATTCAATTCAGTCATTTTTGGATATCTGATTTCAGAAGAACTAAGTTCAGAAATTTAAATTAAAAACTAATAAGAAAAAAACTAACGAATTGTCCATTTTTTCTTGCGAGATTCCATCAATTCCATTAAAGACTTAATGTCATGTTCAATATATTCCATTACTAGATAGATTTTATCCATACTTGAGCCAACAACAACCTCACTAACATTCAAAACATTTGGATGATTGCCACATTTAAGAAGCATATTAATTTCACGGAGGGAAGTGATCGGAAAACCTTGATGCTCCTTTTCCATTTTTAATCGTTTTAAAGCCACAATTTTATCTAAAAATTGAAAAAAATAAACGAAAATAAAAAAAAAGAACCCGTTCTCTTTTCTTTGGCACGATAAACAACACCAAATGTCCCTTCAGAAATTTTATTAAGGCATTCAAATTCCACTACGCTTCTACATCCAGAAATGCCAGGATAATAAACAGGTAATTGTTCAATCAAATGCTGTTGATATAATTCTTCCATATGTCTCAACCTTTCTTCAGGCAACTAAAATTTAAATTTTTAATAAACATTTATCTAACCCATTGCTGCAACTCGCTAACAGAATAATATAATAATTAAATTTATTTCAATATAAATACAAACCAAAGACTTAACCTCATTATTATTATGTGCACCATTATCAGAATTGATACCAAAATATCCACTATTTGTGTATTTCTCTTCACAAATTGGTTCATCTAAAAAGTAAAAACATGAAGAATTTTTTAGATTAAATTTTGACCTTCTGGATGGTCATTTGCTATTTTAGGCGAACTTATTCCTAAGCCATCACCATCATCAGGAAGATTGGAAACATCATCATCAAGTGGGGGTGAAAATGGCACTATTCTATAATAAGGAGCATCATCAGCCATGCTTCGAAATTCTTTAACAGAGCTTAAGTTAAAAAAACATGAAAAATCTGAGGGAATAAGCAAAAAACTTGCAACAAAAAGGGCTGAACCCTCCGAAAATTTAGAACTAGCCAGTTGAGCGCCGAGTCAGTATCGCTGATTCAGTATATGGTCATAACTCTCTCTCTTGATTTTTATGCCTGTGACATAAAAACTTTTTGTTAAATGCTCAAATCAGTTTAATGAAAAAGTTGAAGCATCTTGAGATCTTTCGAATTTTTTGAAATATTAATAGAACAAAAAGTCGAACAAAAATTTATGTATCATCTAAAAACCAATACGCTGAATCTGCGATACTAATTGACAATTACCCTATCAGATTAAGCGCCATCATTCTTTCAAGTTTAAGTCTTTTACGAAATTATTTAAAAAGTTGGGAGCAACTGGATTGTTTGTTGGAAAGTTTACTTTGTAAGTATTTTGTTTATTTGGTACAATATTCAAATAGTCTGAAATTGAGGATGGAAGGTGGGTATAAAATTCAAAATTCCCGTATTCCCTACTTAGCTTGTGAAGTCGAACTTTCATCTTTTTCATTTTTCTCGAGAATTTTTAAAGATTACTTATTGTTAGCCAAAAGATGTTAATACATTCTTTAGAATTTTCTTGTTTATCTTATCCATTTTTATGCATATCATCTTTTTTTGTGTTTGTATGTTCCATTTTCTATTTTAATAGAGCACTCTGGTTTATGGAAGAAAAAATGTTAATAAATTACCTAGTACATAAAATATGTAAATTTATTTTTTATTTTAGTAAAATAATTACAATTTGATATCACTAAAAAATAAAATAATTTTATTCAAAAAATATAACAAAATTTTTAAAAAATTAAAAAAAAACATAAATATTATAAGAATGCATAATAAAAATGTTTACTGTTTAATTTCCATTATTATATTTCACTCACAATTTCAAAAAATAGATTGTGAACAAAAGAGAGATAAACGATCTAACAACATTCATTTTATTGTTAAACATGGTTTGCCGTTAATTTTTTTCAAGATTAAATTTTAATATTCCTTCCAATCTCTATTTTATTTTCTTAAAATAATTTTCAAAATTTAAAGCTTTAATTGAATGTAAAATTCCTTCAAATTGCCAACAAAATATTCATTCTGCTTTAATTAATTATAAACAAATTCCACTCTGCAAGGATTTTGATTATTTTGAATTACTTAAATGTTTAGATAACGGTAAATAAAAAATAATTTAAATAAAATAAATAAATATTTTTAAAAGAAATATTGCCTAGAACAAATTTAACAAATTTAAATTCAAAATCTGGCCATGTTTGTTGTAATATTGATGCGGCAAGTTTAACTTGTCAAATGGCTTGTAAATCGGCACTTTTTGCGCCAACTCTTAGTCACGAACAGAAAAAGAATCGAATCGAAATGCTTTGCCATAAAGAGCACGGAAATGAATTTCAAGGAGATAAAGTTGCTAGAAATTAATTAATTAAATATAAATGTTTTTAGGGCTTGTTAAATTGCTTAGCCACATCGAATGAGTGGATGTCACAACGATCTTGATCAGAAATAAATTTCGATTTTAAATATTTTATTTTAAATTTTTTTTCAAAATTGAAAATAAGATCATTTTTACATTTACATTTAGAACACACGTTTACATCCTAACAAACAAATTACCATGGTGAATAATCTTTTCTAATCTTTCCATTTGACTTTATAAATGCAAATAAATTCTTATAGAGAAATTTATTGATAGTATATGCTTCTTTAAGTTAGGTTAAAAGGGGGGGATATAAAATTGTTTATATTATATTTTTTAAGGTTTCCTTTAAATCCAAATTTATTATTTTTCATTTCTTCATCTTGTACAATACCTATGAATTTTTAATAATCTTAAAATTGACGATATCTTTATTTGATATAAAATAATTAAAATATATTTTAACCAAAAAACAACCATTTTATATTTTAAATATTCTTTAAAAATATTTTTTAAATTTTCTTTCCCTTCTCCATAACAGAGAAATTCCCGGACTGATGAATTTCTCCAATTGCCTTTGTTTGTGAAAATTGATAGTAGTTGTCTAGTAGTGCCATCCATTTATTCTCCCATGTGAGAGAAATTTAAAATAATTGTTGAGGGAATTGTTAACAGATTGAAAATGAGTTCCTTTTATTTATTGAAATTGAAAAGAAAAAACTTTTTTGGTTCTATCAAATTAAAAATGTTGTTATTTTTAAATATTTACAATTTTGAATTTCAATTAATTAATTACCCAAAAAATTGACAAAATTGTTCCAAAGAAATACAAGTTTCTTTTTATCCCTCTTCTCTACATCCATTTATTAGCATAATTTATTTTAAATAACTTTAAATAATATTAGTTGTGAATGGATAAAACATTGCCTATTATTCTTTTCAATTTTATTTAAAATAAATTACATATTTACATACATCGTAAAAATTCCAAAAAAATTTTAGTTATATATTGAGGAAATCTTAAATAGATATAAATATTCGAGGACATATCTGCAAAATTTCTGTGTTTTATTTATATATGAGTAATATTAATATATAATTTTTAATCGAGTATCCCCTAAACATCAAAAATTAGTGTTTATTTTAGTTCCTCTTTATTTTATTATCAATTTCTTCCTTCTTTTCAGAGCAAAAAGTAAAGCAACATAAAATCTTCAGTTCAAAACAAACAAACTTTTTATTTAGTTAAGAATTATTTTTCACTAAAATCATTCATTTATTTTGAAATATTTCTTTAAAGAAACAAAAACAATGTTTCGTCTAGATCGCCGAATTCGGTCAGCATCTTCAAGAATACGAAAACTTGAAAATTCTGCTGAAGCTGCACTCATTAAAGCTCAACAAACAGCTGCTCGTTCTTTAAGTTTACGCAGCAGATCTTCACGTCAACAACAAGATTCACAGAAGAGACATTCAAGTACACTTATGGAGTTTTTGGATCTCTCCCCTCGTAAAAATACTACAAATGGAGAGAATTCTAGATTTACTCCACCATGGAAAAGGAAACAAAATTTAGGCGAAGGTTCTAGTAGAGAGGTAATAAAAATATTAAATTATGTAATCATACTAAATGTAATCTAGGTACATACATATATCTATTATATACCTACGAATTCGTTTTTATTTTCCTTCATCCTAATAAGTTAACCAATTTTCCTGTTTCACAATATTTTCCTTTCTTGCATAAGGCAAACTATAAGAAGATTCTATAAGAATAAAGTGAATTGGTGTCATCGCCAGCTTCAGCAATTAGGTGCAGTTTGCTCTACTCACCCACAGCTATCGTACACATGCACAATACGAGATCATAGGCACAATACGAGATCACAATACGAGATCACGCACAATATGAGATTCGGTTCACAAAATAATTTTCTTTGTATGTATTTAGTTGTAACATAATTGTTGTAAATTTGTAATTTGTAGTGTCATTATACATATTGCTTGAGGAAAACAAGTGATTGGATTTTTAAATTATTAATTTTTAAATTATCTTACATCTCTTACTCTCCTTATGTAACATATAAAAATAAAATCAAAAACATAATTAGCAAGGTAATCCTGTAGTATTCTAAAATTTAGTCAAGTACTGTAAGTAAGTTTTGGATTAATTTAAGAATTAGTAAATTTGAAAAATTAATAAAATAAAATAATGTAACTAACATTTATTTGGTTTTAAATTTGACTCACAAAAAAGCTCTTAAACTTTTTTTACCCCTTTATGTTAAAGGATATGTAATGACTAATTGTAAGAAACAATGCTTAAAAATATATTTTGAATGTTTTTCAATTCTTTTTATCAGTGAAAGCACTCAAAAATTATTGCATTAGGAATCTTATATTTTATTTATGATTCATCATTATAATTTTTATACATGATATTATAAATAAAAATAAAATTCATGCAGTGTTATCTAAACGAATAAAAAAATTTCTGCATAATTTTATTCATTTCTCATTTTCTCGTCTGTTAGTAAGTGTGTATTGACTATTTCGTTCGATTTTATATTTTTTATTGTTTAAAACTATTTTAACAGTTTTTGTTTTTTATTGTTTTTTTTTCTTTTAAAAGATTTTTTAACATCCCCCCTCCCTTTCTAACAATGAACGTTCCTAATTTTTGTTTCTTCTTCCTTTTATATATTTTCTGCTCTATCTTTTTTTTCTCTTTTTTCTTTTTTTCATTGCCGTTTCCAAAATACACAATTTATTGAATTTAAGATTAAGTAGGGGAAAAAAAAGAAAAAGCATACATTTCTTTTTTTTTTAACTTGAATATTTTTAAAGTTACATTTTTGGGTAATTCCAAGGCTGGTCCCCCCCTTTTTTTTCCTTTCTATTTTTTTCGATTTTTTAAACTTTTTATGGCAAATTATATATCGTTCGAAAGAGCTCTTCAAGCTGAGTCGAACGGTACTAAATTCATCAAAATCCAACTTAAATAAACATAGTTATGACCGTTTGTTTTAATCCCTTTCAACATCACAAAAAGCACGTCCATCGAGGATTTGGCTTCATAATTTTGCACAGAATCTCCAAATCGAACCGATCATAGTATCATTCTACTCAGCTCGAACAGTTCTTTCGAATGATATATTGTAAATTATATGTCAAGCAAAAAAGCTCAAAATGATCAGATGAAAAGAAAAAAAAGGGGGGGGGACCAGCCTTGGAATTACCCATTTTTGTTAGAAAAAAGTTTAAAAAATTTAAAGATTATTTTTAAAAATTAATTTTTTTAGATGAATTATGTAGAAGTTCAAAACACTGATACTTTAGAAGGTATTGCTGCTGCTCATGACTGCACTGTGGTTTGTTTGTATTTATTTTTTTTAATTTTAAATTTAAAATATTTTTTAGGGATTTCTTGTAAAATTAAATAAATTAACTTCGAGAATGGTAAATTAATTATTTATTTAATAATTATTTTTTAAAATTATTTTAAGGTTTTTCCTGGTCAAAAACTTCTTGTTCCTTCATTTGATGAGACACAGACAGTTTCTTCTAGTGAAAAATTGGAAAACAAATTAATTAAGGAAAAAAGTTCAGGTTTAATTATTATAGTAAATTTTAATAAAAAATAAAAAAAAATTTTTTAGGAATTCACAGAGGTCCAGGTCATGCAGTTCCTATCCCGCCTAATGAAATTCCCTTGCGGAGTGCTCTCTCTAATACATATAAATCTTATCGGTATTTTTTATTTAATTTTCTAAAAATAATTTATTAAACAGTCATTCTACAACTACTTCTCAACCTCAAAATATCTCATCTAAAGACGATAATGAACCTGAATTTGGTCGGAGTGCTTCTGAATTAGATCCAGAAGACCAGGATTGTTTGCAACGTTTCATGAAAATTAAAGTTTTTTTGTTTTTATTCCCTTCTTTCATTTTTAATTTTAAATAGGTAAAGCAAATAACGGAGTCTGACGGGACTATAGTTGGCACTTTACTTGTTACTCCAAACTGTTTAATGTTTGACCCAGATGTTGACCATCCTTTGGTTCAAGAAAAAGGTTCTGACCTTTATGGAATGGTTGCAAAGTATTTATTTTTAATTTTATTTTTAAATTTTTTTTTGAAATTTTTAGTATGGAAAGCATTATTTCTGTAACTGTTTACAAACATATTAGTTCCTTGACAGGAGAAAAGCAAAATAAAGAAGAGGATATTTTTGACCCGGAGAGAGTGACTTCAACTCCAAGTATTTTATTCTAAAATAAAAAGTTTTGGGGTTATCTTAAAAGAACTCTTTTTTTTGTCGGTAAAATATTGCTGAATTAGTTAAATCTCTTAATATTATTCCAAAATTTAATATTGAAATATTTGTAATATTCTAATTTTTTAAATTATTATAGGAATGTCGATTGCTGGCAGTAGGCAGGGAAGTCCATCGTCAATTAGCAAAAATCAGAGAATATCTTCCCTTGACAAAGGTGAGCATAATAAAGTTGTTTATATTTTTATATTCTTATAAAATTAGGCGCAAAAACTGATTTAAATGAAGAAGAGAGGCTTGGTGCAAGTTTTGAAGGCGATCAAACAATCGTTTATGGAACATCAGCTGGCACTCTTTTACCTGGTTCGTATACCTCAAATGCTTCTTCAGACGGAGAATCTTCCAATATTTCTAATTCTGAACTACTTCCTTGTATTGATGAGGAAAGGGAGATACAACAAAGAAATGAAGCTATTGAAAGAGAGAAGAGACCGCACGGTGAAAAACAATCAACTTCAGTTGGTAATATTTTGCGATTTGATATTTACTTTGGATTCCTAAGGCCCGTTGAATTTATGTTAATGGATAGTTTTTGATTTCTTATTTAAAATCAAAAGTATTTTAAAATACTTTGGGCCGCCAATGATAAGTTTAATATTAATAATGATTTTTTGAAGAATCTGACGGTGTAAATAAGCAATATGAAAAGCGGTTAAGTGAAGGAGCACAAGCGATTACATCATTAGATTTAGACGAAGATAACGATCAAAGTGGCCAACCCCTTATTAATCAGATGGATTCACTTGATATCTCTAAGAGTGGCGAACAGTCACAACGTCGAAGTCCATTACCATTTTCTCGATATTCGCCTGGAATGGCTCGAAAATCTTTTGGAAAGCTTGGAAGGACTTTAAGGTATTTATATTTGATTTTAAAAATAATTTAACCTTATTTTTAGTGCAAAAGCAACCAGCTTTAAGGGGTCAGTACAATCAGTTGCTTCCGGAACGCAAAAGGTTGATTGTTTTTAAAGTCTATTTTCCAAATTTAATAAAACCTTTTAGGTCGCTCATGGAGTCGTATCTCACACACTTTCTGCAGCGGACCACATCCAGGCCGGTATTCAATCGAGTGCCAAAGTTGTTGCATCTGTCCCTGGTTCTATCATGAATATAAGTTCCGGTTTGATCCAGGAAGGTCAAAATGGTGTTATGGAAGTTGTTGAATCTGTAAAGGATGTATTGTCAAATGAAGTAAATATTTTTAGAATTTTTTATAATAAATCAAATAAAATAATCTTAAGAGTAACGAACCACAACAGGAGCAAATTGACAGACAAACAATGAAACGTGAACGCAGTCTTGCCACCCTTGAATCACTTTATCAACGGACACAGCAGGCCAGAGAACAAGCTGCAATACAACGTGCACTGGATACTGGGTATTTATACATAATTTTTAATAGTAAATTATGTGGAAACAGATTTTACTGATTGGGTCTTGATTTTGTATTTTTCTATTTTCTGCCCTGACATAAGTTAGGAATTGATTTAAAATTTTTGAGTAAAGAACAATACACTAACAAATAAAAGTTTTTATTTTTATTATAAATAAGTATTTAATAAAAAAATCATAACAAATAGTAAATAATCGGTTTTAATTTTTCCTTTTGACTTTAACCACGTGGATTCTTTTATTATTTTCAAAATTACACTTAATATTTTTTATTAGATTCGTCCTTGGATCAGAAGAACGCTCAGTATTTGAAAAGAAACAAAAATATAATGACATCACTAATAACAATGGCCAAAATGAGCGTAATTCAATCGACTCCCCTCCCGAACCACCATATTATATGACTGTGAGAGTGGATAGATCACGTCAACAAAGGAAGAAAAGTAAGTTTTATTGAGAATTTTATTACAAATTAATCTTTAAATTATGGGATTAAATAATATTTATGCTCGTAATACAACCCTTTGAAATTTTTTAATTTACTGGTCTTTTAAAAAATCATTTTTGTTTTTTGCCAGACTTGAACGAAACTTTCCTTATTTCGTTAACTTTTTGTTTTTTTATTCATATCATTCATAACATTTTCTTTATATTCTAATTAAACGGTTTTTGTTCTATTTTTCTAATCACATTATCTCCGTGTCTAGCTCTTTCCTCCAAAATAGTTTCGTCAAATTGCAAATCCAACTCTTTATTAAAACACAAATAGATTTTACACATTTTAATTGCCATTAAAAACATCAGATGATAGAATAGGATTTATTTTAGACTGAAAAATCTAAACAAAGTGCTCATCGTTTTATTCATTTTGTACACTATGTTTTTATTTTAACGAATTAGTCTGTGTGATATCATATTTTCTAATTATGGTTATTTTAAAATCTATTTTTTTGACAATTATTTTTCTAAATTTTTAATTCGTATTATTTTTTAAATTTAGCACAATTATCACGTCGAAATTCGAAAGAAATTGTTGACTCTACAGGTGCCTCATTATCTGCAGCAGATTTTTTTGAAAGTGGTTGTTTATTTGGTAATAAACGAAAAAGAGAATTTTGGTTTGCCGTGCCAAGAAGTCGTGTGGATGCTATTTATCATTTTTTGCTACAGTGGTTAATTTTAAAAAATAATTTGAAAATTATTTTTTATTTTTTAGGTCACCTCAGAAATACGGACAGGCTCGTTATTTATTTTAGAACTTGAAATTCGTTTTATTAAAATAATTTTTTAGGTAAAAGCAAGTTCTGCAGACGAAACAAACGTTGTTGATGAAAACACCCCCAATGAGATGATTTCAACTGGTGTAAACACAAAACAAGACTTTGGAGCATTTGTTGTTCTCGATCGAGATGTGGATGATGAAGCATTGACTGGTTGGTTTATAGTTATAAAATTTAAAAATATTGAAGAAAAAAAATATTTTTATTTTGTCTGAATTCCTAAAAAAATATATTTAGAATATTTACTTTTGTCTGGATTGATATCTTTACATTCTCCTTATAATTTTTCTTCCCATTGTTATTTTTATACTTCACCCATCATTGTCTCCATTTATTATATTTTCTTATAACAGCCATCAATCCACATTTTTATTATTCTTTTCCCTTCTTCAACTGTCTGTAAACAGAAAGAAACCTTTTGTACTCGCGCACTTCTCTACTTTCACAACTTTCGTGACCGCCGAAATTGTTTTGCAAAAAGTGAGGTGGTTAACAAAAAGTATAAGAAAAATGGTAAATCTTGGTGTGTAGCAGACCTTCGATATATTCCTTTTGTTTCGCGCAAACATTCATTCTTCTTTTTTAAAAATTAGTCGCTATACTCCTTTTCATGATTTACCATTTTGCTTTTTAACAACCATTTAAATGGACAAAGCAAATTGTAATAGAAAAAGGAGTTAAAAGTGCTACGTGACCGATTACGCATTTTTATAACATTTTGTGTAATTAGAATTGAAAGTTCCAGATCTCATCAATTAACATTTAAAAATTTTTTACACGTTAATTTGATAATCAATTAAATGTCTAAGCAATTTAGACATGACTGAGATTAACTTAAATTAATTTTTGTTAGTCTTTTTATTTTGATGGGGTTAAAAAATTTTACTCTCAAAATAAAAGAGTTAAAAAAGCACTTTTATTTTTATAAGTTAACTCTTGCGCGGAAATTAAAAATCGCACTTTGTTGACCATATTATTTTTGAGCAAAGCAGTAATTGTTTACCTAACGGATTTCTTCACCCACGAGATTTCTTAACCACATCAATAAATGGATGAGTGATTTGTTCTATAAGCGGCCGCCCGGAATTTTATTTATGACAAGGCAAAGGTTGAATAATATAACTACGCAAAAGACGGCTGGCAATAAAACATGACAAACGACTTTATAATTTTATAAAACTAAAATTACACATAAAACAACACAGTAGTCAACAACTGCATTTCTCATTAATTATATAATAGGCCTCATTTCTTTTAATAGGCCAAAAAGTCGAGAGCATTGAACGCCTTTATTTATTTCAAATAAACTGCATAAATTTTAAATTAAATTGACCTTGAGAAACAAATTATTGAAAATTCTGCAATCAATACAACCAAATGGAAGTATCAAATTCGGCTAGTAAGAAACGTTCACTCGATTCTTCTATACATATGCTGCTTAACGAAAATAAAAATAAAAGCCGCAAAGCATTTCAATCTAAAAGATGTGGGGGTTCTTTTGATAGAAAATTAACAACAGGAATTTTTGGGTCTAAATATTCAACGTCTTTTCATTCTGGAGGAAATAATAATGTCAATAGCAGCTTTCCTATTCCACCGGTATTTCCAAAAACATGCTCTCTTTTTGATTCCACCTTTAATGGAGGTGCTTTTACCGACCGCAATGAAGATAAAAAATTAATGGAGGCGCTTATGGATGTTCGATTAAAATTGCAAAATATGAAGAAGAATGAACCTCGAAATACGGAAAACAAGAGCGAAACAACACTAGAAGAATTAGCTAATCTCTCTTCTGATAGCGGAAATTCTTCAATTTTTGTTGATTCAACACAAAGTACCTTAAATTCGAAAAATGAATTTTATTGTAAAACTTCATCTTTATTTAATTCTTCTTTGATTAAAGAAGACTCTTCTAACGTCAAAACTAGAGAGGACGGTTTTAATCCGATTTTAAAACGAAAAAGCGATTTGACGGTTAATATTCCAAAGAGCGAAAGAATTCTTTTATTCAGACGCCGAACAAAATCTAAAAAAAGCTATCAGGAAGAAGAAAATGAAGGAACAAAACACTGGACTATCCATGGGGCTAACAATAAGGGGAGCACTCCTTGGAAGTACAAGCTGTTGAAAGCTTTTTCCACAAATGGGGTTAATATGGTTGCTGCTGATGGTGAAGGAAAAGGCAAGGGATATTATTTTCTCAAAAAAGAGCTCCTTTCCATCTATCCTAGTTTAATGAAAATTTATTATTCTTTATTTTTATCTTCACCTTTCTTATCTTCTCTGTATCCTCTTGATAAATATTCAATTCTTTAATATCCGCACTTTAAAAATAAATTTGTTAGCTTATCAATTTATATGAAAGATTTAGGTGAAAAGCCATCCCATCACTTTGGAAAGTTGGACAGAGAATGGGAAGTCTGCGCTGTGCGCGAGATTTGTCGTCGTCTTTCATTAGAGGACTCTTTAGAGCCATCAGAGTTGCCGTTACCAGATGGTGATTAATTAACTTTTAAATAATAATATTTTACTTTACCCTATCTATGCATTTTTAAGAATTATTCCAAAAATGGAAATAATAAAAAAAACTTAAAAATTTAAAAATTTTTTCTAATAAACAGGTGCACTTCAATCACAAGTGCTGGACGAATTTATGATTCGACAGGTGATTAATATGTTTATATAAATATATTTTGTTTGATATTTAAATAAAAACAAATGAAGTTTTTTTTGTTATTTAGGCCAAATAAATTTAAAGTCTATTTGTAATTTTATTATTTTTTAGATTGTAGATATTCTTCCTCCTCGTGCTGAGGTAATTTTAATTTTTAGAATTTAATAATCCCTTTAATTATTTAGGGTTATCCTTGGGTGAATATATACAGTTCTGAGAAACATGGATTCTCCTTAGCTACCCTTTACAGGTTTAAAAATATAAATATAAATGTTTAAATTTGTAATTATTATTTTGAAGAAAAATGTCTGAATGGAAAGAAGAAATGTCTCCTGTTCTTTTAATCATTCGCGACGTTGTTGGCCACGTTTTTGGTGCAGTATGCTCTACCGGTCTTTAACCTTTTAATTGATAACAATATATTAAAATAATTTTTAGTCGATTGATTAGTAATTGTTTTGATAAATTATTATAGAACTATTTTTGCCTTTAAATTGAGTTAGAATGAAAAAAATTAGTTTTAATTAAAATGGAAAAAAATATTTTTCTCTTTAATAATTATTTTTATAAAAAAATCTTTTTTAGCTCTACAACCATTAACTCCACCACATTATGTTGGAACCGGCGATTCATGTTTACTTTTTCGCTTTACAGGAGAGCACCCACACACTAGGTAATCGTTAATTTCATTGAGTTAATATTTGCTTTCTTTTAGGGAGTTACGCACATTCCATTGGACTGGAGATAATCAATTTTTTGTTAATGCAACCAAAGATTTTTTGTCAATTGGAGCTGGCGGATTAAGCTCAATTACCAAGTGAGTTTGTGCTTACTAGAACTTTTTTTGACACGTACTTGAGAGTCTTATATTTTTGTTTGTGTTTTTTAATATTTTGTATCGGTTATGATTGCTTTCAAACTGTTAAGTAGGGAAAACTTTTAAATAGTTGGAAGCAAAAATGTAGCGTTCTTATTTTATTTTTAATAATTTATAGTTCTCGGTCGACATGCCCTACAGCTGCTGGTCTTTGGTTGGATGCTGATTTGGTTAAAAAATTTTTACTTATTTTGTAAAAATAAATTTCTTTTAGAATAATGGAAGGTCACAAAATTGTGCAACATTTAACAATGAGCCTTTAGCTGGTGGTCTAGAAGGAGATTTTGTAATTCAATTTGTTGAGGCATTTGGTTTTAGCATGTCTTAAATAAATACATCGACCGTCCATTTTGTGCCGATTTGACTTATTTGCTCTAATTTAATTTTGAGGATATTTTAATTTCTAAAAAGAAATATCCTTAATAGAATATTATATACTATATAATTTTATATTCCCATTTCCATTCCTTATTTTGACTATATTAATTATTAAATATCTACATACTTTCCTAAAGTATATTTAAATATGTATATAATTATTTTCTTTTAATTTTCCTTTAATTATTTGCATTGTGATTAATTTATGATAGTCAAAAATATATGTGACGATGCTTTGGAAAGTGAATAAAATCGCAATATTAAAAGGAGAAGCATTTACTCTTTGCTTTATTTATTTTAAATAAATTAAAAGAATTAATCTTTTAGGATATATCTTATAAATTCTGGCATAACCTTTAAAAAATAGACACTGATAATAGGTACAGAATTTATCCCAGCACTAATTTCTTAAGAACAACTTTTTAGGTTGCGTTTAGTTGTGCCTAATAAAGTCTGTATTTACAATTAATTTATTAAATTAAATATTTAATCCATATTAAAATTAATAAAATTATAACAAATCTGGAACTTGACACAAAAAAATATTTTTTTGTTCCTATCGTCGTTTTACTTAAAAGAAAATTTTGGGTAATTATGAGCAATTTAATGGATGTAAAATATAAAAATTGGAAAAAGGCTAATTAATTTATATAATTTAAAATCTATTTAACTAATTAAGTTTATTTAAATAATGAACAGTTTAATTTTGAATTTGTTTTTTTCTTGATTTTTTAGAAAAAAATTAATATTTTAGTAGCCTTTACAATGATTGAACAAAATCAAAATTTAACTGTAATATTTTAATATTAACCAGTATTTATTAGAAAACGATAGAGTTGCGAATCAAAACAAAAAAATAAATAAAAATTAGAAACCAAAACAGATTGCACCGGGGGTATATTTAGAAATTAAGTGTTAAAAATAATATTTAGAAGAATAAAAGTGTTAAAAACCCTTATATTAAAGAATCTATTTAAAAATGTATTTTGTACTTTAAAAAATTTATTCAACATTCCATTCCTTCCTATCTCCTCTTTCTTTATAATAATCCAAATCCTGATTGTAAAATATTAAAAGCTGATTGAATTTGTAATTGTTGTTGTTGCTCATTATTTTCTGAAATATTTGAAGAAGAATTATTTTTGGGTAAAAATAATCCTTGTTGGGCTGCTAATAAATTTGTAGCAAAAATTGTTGTTGGATCAAAAAATGTTGGAAACATTTCTGTATTTCTATTTCCATTTCCGGTTAAAATTAAATTTCTTAAAAGTGCTTGATGATGTGCTCCAATAATTGTTTCTGCAATTTTAGTTTTTTGTTGTTCTTGCAGTAATTGAGCAATTATTTGTAGCAAAATATTTTTTTGTAATTCATTATTATTTTCAGTTTCATTTATTAAATTTCCGTTTTCTGAATTTTGTTGGAAATTTTTTGAATTTGGGGAATTTAAAGGAAGAATTGTTTGATTTAAATAATTTAATAAAAATTGGTCTAAAGGAGAAGTTGTTTTCTGTGTTTGTTGTTGTTCGGTTGGCAGAAAATTTGGCAAATTGTTTTGTGGAAAAGAGGAAGAGGAGGAAATGTTTGTATTTAAATTATTAAATAAAAATGTTTGTTGATTAGGTGGTGGTAATTGTTGTTGTTGGTCATTAATTAAAGGTGCTACTGACATTTCACGCAATGTTGAAAAACTGTCAACAGAAGAGAAGGATGAATTGCGTGACTGAAAGGAAAAAGTTAAAAATGTTTTGATATTTAATTTTAAATAAATACTGTATTTACGTTTAACTAAAATACAAATTTAATTTTTGATATTAATTTTTTTATAAAATGTTTTGGGAAGAGATTGACACATTTTACGGTACCTGGAAGTTTTTTTTTTAATTAAGAAATTTAAATTAAATATACGGGAATTATGTTAGTTGATTTTCAAAAACAATTGTTTTTTATTTTTAAATCTTCGAGATTTTGTGGTTGTAATATTTTTAAATTAACAAAAATATAATCAAAAATTATTTTTCCTTAAAAATCCCTCATTCCCCTCCATTCCTTACCTTAATATTTTTAGGTGAAAGTTGCTGCTTATTTTGAATATTCCAAATTTGTTTATTTAAATCTTCCAAAGGTTCTTGTTGTAATTTAATATTTTTCCCTAATTCCTTTGAAGAAGTACAGGCAATTTCATTTTCTTCTTCAACTAAATTAATTGAAATTGTTGATTTCTTTTTTGTTGGAGGTTCTTCTGTCAAAATATTATTTGTATTTTCTTCATCTTCAGAATTTTTATTTAAATTATTATTTTCTTCTTCTCCTTTTTCTAAATTTAATTTATTTCGAGAAGATTTTCCTTTTCCAAATCCCTCATTTTTATGTCGAGCAACTACTAAGGGAAATTAATTAAATATTTAATAAAAAATATTTTTATATTACCCAAATGTTGATCTAGACGACGTCTTGTCTCTATTAATTCACAAAAATCACAACTACAATTTGTAAATGGGCATTGACGTTTATGTTGCTTAAAATGAAGAAAAATATTTTTTAATGAAAATATGTAAATTTTCGGGAAAAATTACATAAATTTAATAATTATCCTCAACCTCAGTCCAAAATTATTAATTTAATATCAAAACAGTATTATTCTTTTTTGTTTCTCTTTTAATTTCTAATAAATTTGGATTTACTGTATTTTATCAGAAGGGCTTTTTAAACATAACGTTTATTATCTACTAACCCCCCACAAAAAACAAATAAACAATTCCCAACCCTCAATACAGTAATTTTAAAAGTTTATTTATACTCATTTATTTTTTACCTTTTTCCAAACCAAAACTCCGTGATTTTTACATTTTTGACAAAAATAACACATATTTTTCCCATTAATATCCAACATTTGTTGTTGGATTTCATCATCTACAATTACCCCATTTGTTGGTTGTTGTGGAGATGTTGAACGTTCTAATTGCTGTTGAAATTGTGGAGTAAGTAAGGGAATTACATCTGCTTCTTCTGGACGGTCTGTACGTTGAAAACGTTTATCCTATAAAGTAATTATTTTTTTAGAGATTTTAAAGTTATTTTCAATTAAAATTATTTTTTTTCTTGAAAATTAAGAAAAAAATTAAATAATAACAAATTCTCTATATTTATGTAAATATCAAAAGGGGGAAAGAAAAGACTGATTTAACAATTTTTAAGGGATAATTATAATTTTTGTTTTTATTTTAAAAATATTTTTTTATTTACCTGTGCTCTTCGAAGGCGGATTTGTTGGCTCATAACAAGACGTCTACTTCTAACCAAATTACACTAAAAATTAATTTATATGTATTTAAAATCAAATAATTTTTATTTTTACTTTTTGACATTCACAATCTTTAAATTCACAAATATGCCCTCTAGTTTCTTCCATTTTCCCATGTTGACGGCAAATACCACAAAATCTTTTTACATCTAATATTTTAAAATTAAATTAAAATTTAAATTTATTTTAGATTATTACCTCTAGGAACTCTTTTGCTAAAAGCAAAAAAACGTTGACAAGAATTATCTTCATTAGACATTTTTTAATTTAAATTTTAACTAAAAATAATTATTTTTATAATTTTAAAAATACGGTAGAAGGAAGGGATGCGCGATAAACAAGAAGTGATCAAATAGAAAAAAATATTTAAAAGTTTTGAGGGCTTATAAATGCTAGAAAATACTAAAAATGCCATAAAATATGGAAATAATTTAAAGTGAGGAGGAGGGGAAAGGGGGAAAATTAAGAAGAAAATTATTAAATGTAGAAAATTAATAAAATTGATTAATTTTTGGGGGTAAATAGAGAGAGGGGTTTGAATTAAATGTTGAAATTTTTAAATTAAATGTTTAATTAATTATTTAATTAATTAAATTTATTTTTATATTTTAAATAAAAAATAATAATTTTAATTTACACAAATTAAAAGTTGAGATTAATATTAAAAATACCTCTAATTAAATGTCCCTTCGAAAAGTGTTTGAAAAATAGAATGCCTGGGCATTCTATTAGAGGTAATTCGGTATCTTCATTTTTATTTAATTCATACCTATTTTATTACTTAAACTAACAGAAATTAGTAAAGAATATTTTAAATTATTTTAATTTTTGGAATTAATTTTTGTTTAATAAAATTTAATTAAAAAATAATTTTTTTAATTTAATTTTCTGCAAAATTAATTTTTATAAATTAATTCTGCAATAAAAAAATAAAAAGAAACATTTTTTTAACAAAAAGAACACATCAACAAATATTTATTATAAATTATTTATCAGAGAGTTTCTGGAGGAAAATTAATTATTTTTTTTTCGTTCCAAAACTTTTTTCTTTAAAAAATAACTGATAAAATTATTAAATATTAAAAGATTAAAGAATTTTTATTGTTTCTTAAAAGAAGAAAGAAGAGAGTTAAAAAATATTATTTTGTACTTAATTTGATGGACAGATAAATAAATACATAAATAATTTGTGAAAATTAAAGAAGGTAAAAACTGTGGACAAAATTGTTTAAATTAATTGAGGATGTTGTTAGAAAATATGTAGCTCTATTTATTTATTTATCAAGGACAATTTAGTTATTAATTTTTTTAAAAGAATTTAAATAAATTTATTAAAATATATTTTGATAAAAAAATAAAATTTAACTTAAAAGGGCAATTTCTGAATAGAAAAAAAAGAATTAAAAAGTGAACAAAATATAAATATATTTACTTAAAAATGTTCAAAATAAAAATAATTTTAATTTATGCAAATTATTTTAAATAAAAATTTTTTATTTAAATTTATTTTATTTAAATATTTTTTATTGAGAAGAGAAAGAAAAAAAAGTAGAAAATTAAAAAAAATATTAATATAATTAATATTTTATTTTAAAAGAATTTTTAAATTAAATAAAAAATTATTTTTATTTAATTTAAAAAATAATCTTACAGTAATTTAAAAAAATTTTTATTTTGTTTTTGAACAAAATAAATAAATATATTTACATAAAAAATAAAAATAATTAATCCTTTTACTGTATTAATTTTAAAGAAAAATAGGAGAGAAAATAAAAAATATTTTTGTTTTTAAATTTATTTTGAGAAAAAAATATTTTTTTAGAAATTATATAAAAAATGTCAAAAAATATTTTTAAAAAAATTAAAATTTTTAGGTAATTTAAATTTAAAAAAAATTAATTTTAGAATTTAATTTTTTTAAAGTTTAGTCTAAAAAATATAAAATTAATTAATATACATATAATTTTTTAGGTAATAATTTACGTGACAGACATTTTAATTTTAACTTTTTCCTAGGCAACAAAATGTATTTTTTTAATAAAGAAAAATTTAATATTTAAAAGTAATTAAAATATAAAATTTAAAATAATGTAGGAAAGGTAGAAAAAATATTATTAGTATGTAAAGGAGAAGTGAATATTTGAAAGAAAATTGTCAAAATTTATGAAATTAAATAATTTAATTTTTTAATAAAAAAAATAATTTAATTAATTTATTTTTAAAATTAATTAATTATTAAATATTGTTTTCAAAAAAATACTTGAATAAAAATATATTTAAAAATATTTAATTTTAATTGTAAATATATATTCAAAATTATTTTAAAAATAAATTAAAAATAGAAAAACCAAAAATATATAAAATTATTTAAGGATTTTGTAAATATATTTTGCAGCTTTTAATAAATAATAAAAAGTAAAATTCTCGTTTCAATCCTTATTATCCACTAAATTGTAATTTTCTGTGTTATGTGTTATATTCTGATGAAATTTTTGAAAGAAAATAATTGAGGGGAAAGGGAGAGGGAAGGGGTAGGGATGGTTTTTGGCTTTTACTAGAAAAATTTTTTGAATATTATTTTTGGAGGGATTGGGGGGGGGGGTAGGGGGATATATTTAAAAGAGAAGAGAGAAGGGCCAAGTTTTTCCAAAAAAGATAAAAATAGTAGAAAGCTTTATGTATGTTTTTAAAAGTTTTTTTGAGAGTGAGAGAGAGAGAAGGGATATATGCAAGTATTTGTGGAAATCATGCCTTTTTGGCTTTTAATGAGAGAAAAGAGAGGAGGAGAGGAGAAGGTAAATTAAAAACTCTCTCTTTAATATAGCCTGAGTAAATATTGCAGGCTAAAAAATTATTCATTGGCCATTGGCCTTTGAAATAAAAAATAAAACTTTTCTTTTTCTTTTATTTTCTATTTATTATCTTTTTAATAAAAGCTGCAACAAAAAATTAAAAAAAAATAAAAATTCTTTTCAAATAAATTAAAACAAAAGTTTGTTTTGTAGCTTGTTATTAAAAATAAAGGATATTTTTGGTGCAATAAAAACATGACTAATTAATAAATTAAAAGTTAAGTATTCGGTATAAAAATTTTGCAGCTTTTAATAAATAATAAAAAGCTTTTATCACAATTTCTGAAATCGAGAATTTGTATTTTATACCTTTACAAAAATATATTTTCTAATTAAAGAAACATTTTCCCTATTAATCGGTAATTATTCTCCCTTCTTTGTCTCAATTTTGTTGCATTATTTAAATTAGTAAAAAAAATTAATTTAAATAAATAAATTGTAATAATGAAAAAAGGAAGATTTAAAGATTCGTCAAATTACAAAAAAAAATTATTTTAATTGCTGACTAAGTTTATTTCATTAAAATAAACTTTTTTCTTTCTTTACAGTAAAATTAAATGTCTGTTGAGTATTTGCCAAATTAAGGAACAAAAATTTTGCGAAGAAAAAGTATGAGCAATTTAAATTAATATTTTAAATTAAATAATTAATTTTTTTAAACATCAATACCAAAAAATATTTTAATTTAAAAATGTATTTAAAAAGAAATTATATACTTAACAAAAAAGTTAAATTAATAATATAATAAAAATGTCATTTGATATTAATAATTTTAAAAAGATTTAAAAACGATTTTTATATTTTATTTTACTTAAAAATTTTTTTTTTAATTTAATTTAAAAATTAAAAAAATAAAATAATTCTCCTGAAAATCCCTTAATTCAAATTATTTTTTACTTAAACTACTAATTAATAATTAAATTCTAAATAAAAATAATTTAAATAATTCCGCCAACGTAAAACCGCTGTTAGATTCGATTTTTTAAAATTTTAATTTTTGTTAACAAATTATATATTTTTTTGAAAAATTAAAATAGAAATGAGAGAGAGGGGGGGGGGGATATTTTATTTAAATTTTAACTCAAAAATTAAAAAAGAAAAAAATATTTTTAAAAATAATTTCAAAATAAATTTGTGTTTAAACAGATAAAATAAATGTACTAGCTAGCTATTTTTGGGGAACAAAAGTCAGCCTTTCCCTCTTTCTCTCTCTTTCCAGCTTTTTAAAAATTGCAATAATCGTCATTAAGTAGCAAAGCTTTTAAAAACTTTGGAGAAATTTAAACTCCGCCCTTTTATTTTTTTGGAAAGGAGGGGGAAGAACAGAAATTGTTGTTTGTGTTGTTATGGCGCCTTATGTTTGGCGCCAAACAGAGATTTTGGTCTGAATAGTCAATCCCCAATTGTAAAAATTAGGGATCGATCTGAATCCATGGTTTCTTAAAAATAACTGGGAAAGTAGAGGATTTAGTATTTGGTAGGCCTTAAGATCATTAGTAGATCAGCACTTCGATTACCTACTGGAAAGCCTTAAAAATATCGAAAAAGCATTTTTTTACTCGTTTTTTATCGAGATCAATGATCTTAAAGATTGCCCAGTATTTTTAGCTAGAACATAGAAGTTTAATTGAAGAATTGAAGAAATTGAAGTACTAATTTAAAAAACATTAAAGACTTTGAAAAATAACTTTAAAAATTATGAACACAAAAATATAGAAACGCCAAATTAACTATTTACGTCTAAACAACCCCATCAAAAGAGAAAGGAAAAGCTCCTAGTCCTAGTCTGCCTTTTTGCCTTAGATAAGCTTTTTTACCTCTCTTTTTCTACTTTTCTATTTGCCTATTTTCGTAAGCAAAAATATACAACATCACAGCTATTTTCGGCACAAAACACACATTTCTATTCTAAAACTGTGTTCTTTGCGTTTTCCCGCGCCTTTCTCTCCTTTCACCAATTCTTTTTCAAATCCCCATTTCAACATGCTCCCACGCGCATTCCTTTCCCTTTTTTTAGTCCACTTTTGCACTGCTAAAAAAGAAACAACACAAAATAGAAACGGGAGCGGAAATAACATTGTGAAGGCATTTTTACAAGAGAAAATAAATATATTAAATAAAGCTGACGCAGGACTGTCAAACAAAAATGAGAGAGTTTATTTTTTATGTTTTTTTAAGAGCAAAGTTGAGGATTTGCAAAAATATATTTTTAAGAAAAGGCCAAAGGATTGTTATTAATAGAAGAAAAAATGTAACGAAAAATACAAATATATTTTTAGAAAATAAAGAGAACCTTTGGCCTAAAACTTTTTTTGGACATAGCCAATTCCTTATTTTTAGCTTTTTGAGGGAAGTTGCGTCGTCCTTTTCCGCTTGGATGTCCCCTTTTTTTCTAATTTTGGCATTCTCTAAAATTGTTTTTTGTCATGCCATTTTTGGCAAAAATTTATTTAAAAACGGTCCTTGTTCATTCAATTGGCCTTGTCAAAGTTTTTAAAGGTTTTTTAGTGATGACATGAAAAAAATAAAAATAAAAGAAAATTGTTGCATTTACAAAAAGAAAACCCTTTTATGGTAAGAAAAAAAGTAGAAAAAAAATAA